ACTATATGCTATGTTGATGTAAATGTTCCCTAGCTTTATTTAGGTTAAAGTTGCCATTAATCGGTATGGCTGCAAACAATAGACATTCATGTCTTTATCCACCAAAAATAATACTAGCGATATCCTCTTATAGATTGATTGTTGGAGAAGCATTGCTAATGAAAAGCAAGTTTAATTCAAGTGTGTTACACTATGAGATTACATATATATATATATATTTGTGTGCAAAAGAAGCGGAAACCTAAGCAAAAGGATAGAGGCGAGTGGATAGAGAATTTTACCCTTTTCATTAATGTCATATATTTTGATTTTTGAACTCACGTTTATATATAATAAAATAGTGGGTGTACTTGTTCTGCAACTCTGAACCGGAAAATGAACTCTCAGTGAAGTTGATTGAATTGACTTTGGCTTTATATGTCTAGCTAGCTAGCTAGCCTGTTAGCTTGTGAATATATGTACCATATATTTGGTGGAAGCTTTAGCCTTTAAGCTATGTACAATTAATTATACATCCTATACCTTGCCTATATATATATATATATTTTTTTTTTCTATTTTAATTCCTTTGCGAAAGTAAAAAATTAAAAATTGTAAAAAATATTGTTACTATTTTATTCTTACAGCTTAATTTGTATTGTGGTGCATTCTTTAAGCCACATTACATATTCTAGAAGCATAGTTTTATTCACTATTTTATTTTTTTTATTGTTTTGACTGTTAACTTCTTTTTGTACAAACAAACGTTTATATGTGTGGTTAATTATTACTGCATAATTAATCATCTTTAAATTTACAAAACTCATATATATTAATTGTTTTAGGAAAAAATAAGATGAACCAATGTAGGTAAATAGATGCTATTGATCTTGCGAAAACTTAAGAATGATCTGTAGAGATCCACTTTTGACTCAAAGATTTTATAATTTTATTTTTCAAAAATAATCTCATAAAATATGGATTGAAGTATATATATATATATCATGGTAAGTTTTTATAATTCTTTTAATGTAAAATTGAGGGTACAATTTACCCTATTAAAGCTTAACATTCAGTCAAACGTAATACATCACATATAAAACTAGATTTTAAAGGTGATTTCAATTATGTGCACTTAATTTTCACTCATTAAGATTTTAAAAATAACTCAATAATAAAAAATTACCTCAAAAGTTTCACGATTTTTTTTGAAAAAAAAAATCTCACAAATATAAGTTATATATAATTTAGCAGATCCTCACAAATTTTTTGATATGAAATTAAAGGTATTACAAGAACATATTACTCATTTATGTGCTAAATGTTCGATTTTCTTTTCTTTCGTATCTTTGTGAAAATTGAAATTAGTTGCAAGTATAATTTCAATTCTCGAGAATTTTGTCGAAATTAATAATGGGTTGCGGGAATTAATTAAAAGTAGTAAGAAACTGCACATCTTTTTTTTTTCAGTTAATAATGAAATTTCATTTATAGTAAACAGTCAAATACAAAACTTCATCTCTGAAGAGACTGGTTCAAAGAAGACATCAGCTCTAAAAAAAGAAAGCTAATTACACCAGAACACAAGAAAAAAATTTGAATAGAAATCTGACATCAGCCAAGCATAAAATGAGTCTGTTCAATCCCTAAACTGCAAATCTTATGAGAATATTGTGAAATGGTTTATCTAACTTGTTGTACTCTAGGGAACAGGTTACTAATGGATAGAAATTACAAAAACTGTGTCAAAAAGAATAGTTGCTTTTTTGTCGTTTAGTCAAGAATAAGCCATCTTCATCTTCAATTTCCTGCACAAAAGTACGAACCCTAAGCTCAAAATCACAAATAATTTTGATGATCAGAAAAAGGGTACGTAGCAACAAAACCATACACGTGCAAGCAATAAGCAGTTGAAATGATTGAGCAGGATAGATAAGAAAAGGCAGACAATGAAAAAAATCCAGTGAATATTATTGCCTGTTTTTTCTAAGTGGATGATTCATTCTTGCAATGAAAAAAACTATGTGGTTGTCTATCCTTCAGGGGAAAGCAGCAAAAAGCAAAAAAAAAAAAAAAAAAAAAGTCTAGTGTATTTGATCATGATAAAAAGAATAAACAAATTAATCATTTAGTTGCAGTTGAGGAACAAATAAGAATTTTTATGGCAGACTAAAAATCTTGCAATTCTGTGCATTAGATTTTTTTTTTTTTAACTCAACAGTAAGACTATATAGGATTGTAGTATAATCTTGTCAAATTAAAACCTGAAGTTTTAATAAAAGTGTCCTCTTAGTGAACTTATCCACATGAACTATAAAATCAATACACTAGACAGAACTATAAAATCAATACAATGACAATATTGTCAGTATCAAAGAGGTTTTTGTCTAGATAAAAATATATATCCATTAGCTAGTGACCCTATCTTCATCAAGCTTATAATTATAAAATAGAAATGAAAATCAAACTGCAAAAGCTATGATTAGAATATCAAAGGGAATAAAATCACGGGCCTACTTTAACACCAACCGACATTTCAAAATATTAAATTTGAGGGTTAATCTTTAGTTGATTTATATAGTTATCTTTCAAAGATAACATTAAGTAGATATAAAATGTAAATCTCAACATTTCTAAATTTTTTTATTCTGAATTTGTGATTTATTTTATTAAAAAAAAGTTAAAAAGCTGTAGTGTTTGAAGTAGGAAACATCATCATTAATTAAGAATGTAATTTAATAAGAAACCTCTCACTTTCCAATTTAAGCTACTCTTGAAAGTCTTTCCTCTTTGATATCTAGAAAACAACTCATAGTGGATGTTGCAGCTAGCAAAGTTTACCATCAATTACATGTAAACAATCTTTATGCTAATTGCAGACATTGTACTTTTGTTGCTATAAAAAAATTGATTAATCGTTTAACTTAATTAGTTCCCACCAAACATCCCAAGTGTTTTTCCAATTAAGAAAAGCTCTTTGATTTTTCTTTTTAAATACAAAATTATAAAACCCAATTTCTCTAGAAATTCTATATTTATTTATATAATGATTTCTGCCCTATGCCATTCACCTATAAGACAGCCATTAAGATAAATGATTACATCAAAAGAAAGAAGACAATTTTGAAGTTGAAAGAACATGGATTATCGTATGAAATCATAAAAAAAAAAAAAAAAAAACAAATTCATTCATAGGTTTAGTCAGCATCATAAATCATTCCTATAGGTTTAGTCAGCATCACAAATGTAGTAGTGCAGGCCTCACTTCAAAATTAAGCAAAGTAAGAAACAAATTCTCAATGTCAGACATTCTGGAATTGTAAAATGTTGCCAATATTTTATGATGGATACCTAAAAGATATGATCATATGATTAACTATATATGTGCATCTAAATGTTGCATTGATAGTCATTCGAATCTCATTATTAACAAGGAAATAAACTTTTTTGAATCCCTTCTACGGTGCTTAAGGTGCTAATTTTAATTATTATGGCTCAAAGGTATTGGTGCAATTGAGAAATTATCTAGTATCAAAGCTGGCATTACTCCCATTCGTTGTTCTTCCGTGATAGATTTGTTATGCTAGGCTATATGTGAAGTTCATACCACGTGATAAGTTCATTGTTTTTACATGTGAGGAAATGTATTAGAATGGAAATAAAAAAAAAAAAAAAATCCTTATCTGTTAAATTTAGAATAATTTAGGCATTTAAATATAATAAGGATCTCTCTAATTGATTTTAAGTTAAAAACTCATCTAAAATTTAGCATAACATATATATATAATTTTTATTTATACATATAATCGTATAAAAATTGACACAATTGTTGAAATGATCAACCTACCTTCAATGAGAAGATTAAAACATAATTACTGATTAATTAACTACATTAAAAAATAATAATTATCATTTTTATGCTAAGCCAAAATAAAGAATTGATTGTTCCATTATTATCTTCTTTTTTTCTCCCGAAGGATAGCCAAATATCCGTATTTTTCTTTCAAAAAAGACTTTAGAATTCAACTTTTCTCTTCTTAAAAGCTTTGGACAAGAACTATGGATTTCTAACATCGATATATTAAAATTAAAATAAATAAAAAATAAAATATATATCAATTTATTAATCCCATTTGTAAAATTAAAAAAAAAAATCACTACCAACATATAAAAAAATAATGATATATTGGGCCAATATTGCATAGTGTTTATCTTTTATTATTAAGGGGGTCTACTTGTGAAGGCTTTCTGTCAAGGCAAGGGCAGACATACACTAAGATAGATGAATTAAGATGTCCCATACCCAAAGCAATCGGATCTTGTTTCTTTCTTATCAAAATCATTATGATTCTTTTTTTTTTTTTAATGGGTAAAAGGTAAAACCCCCCATCAAATTCCCATTTGAATTACGGAAACCAAAAAGCTGAAATTTATTCATAATTGTGCAGTAAAATGGTGGAATAAAGAGGGACAAACTTAATCTCTAGTCTCCCACTTGTATTATCTATAATTAAAAATTTGACTAAGAATTGATGTGTGGAAATTTGGATGGTAAATGTCCATAAACTTTTGGCCGACCCCATTGGCCATTTCCCACCAAAGAAATGGAAGAAAATTAATATTAAAATAGAAAATCTTGAATGGGCCATTCCCCATCGGCCTTTGAGAACTGTTTCCGGGCAGACTTAAAGGGCCAACCCTTCTGATGGGCTATAAAAGTTAGCATCTGTTTGGGCTTTCAGCTCAAAATTATATATCCAAATTATAATAAAAACTTATTAAATTGATATTTTAAAAAAAAAAACCAATAAAAATGTACCACATCATTCTTTCTTTTTTTTTTTTTTTAATTTGGATTTAAAAAAAATTAATTAAAAAATATAGTAATGAGAAAAACTAAAAATTGTAAAAAATAAGAACAAAAAACTTAGAAAAAAAAATCAAATATTATAAAATTCCTACTTATTGCTTTGACTTCTCTCGGTCTTATTCATTTGAAATATAAGTTACAAATCTTTGGCGCCAAGAAAGGAGCTTCACAAAATTTGATCAAATTACCCAAATTACCCTCCTGCCGACCCCCGCTAATTGATAACTATCTTCCAGAAACGAAACTTCTAAAAAAAAAAAAATCCAATGGCGCCAAGAAAAAGCTCTTCGTCTCACTCTCCAATTCCAATCGGTAAAACTTAAAAGCACTCCATTTTTTTTTAAGTTTCGAAACCCTAACTTTCTCATTTAATTTTTTTTTCCTGTTTCACAGGTAATTGCGAGGTTTTGATTGAAGCGAACAAATATAGTTGCAACTCTGAACATAACAGCCTCCAAATCTCTATCTCAAAGAACACAAAAATTAAAATCTCAGGTACTGCTTATTATTTTCCTTAATTTAATGGAATTATCTATTTTGTTTTTTTTTCCCTTTTTTGTTTAAAGTAGGTCGAATTTGTCCATATAAAATTTGCCCAAATAAAATTAGAATGGCTTGCCGTTTACTGGTTTCTCCGGCCTGCTTGTTTGGTTGCCGGAGAAGATGAAAGGAAAAAAAATTCATAAAAATAAAAAAATTGAAAATCTACTTTCTTTTTTTTTTAATCTTTTAGGCCTTGTTTGGTTATGTTGTTGCTATTTTATTTTTGGCTTAAAAAATGCTAAAAAACAAAAGCAAATGAGAAAAAGAAATTTTCTAATTCATTGAAAGAACAAAATTACTACCAAAATACAACAATAATTTCAATATTATCATACAATATAAAAAGGAAAAAAATTTTCTTCTAAAAATCATTTTTTTATTAATTTTAATTGTTAAAATATACTAGTTGCTTTTGTATCCGAAGGCTTTTTTTTTTTTCCTGCTTATTGACACAAAAAGCAAGTAGCAAAAGTAATAACTAGACAAAGAGTGCATTTGTTATCTGGGTGTGCATTTAATCAAGGACTTGGGAAAAATTAAAAAAATTTTAAAGATTTAATTACCTTCACCTTAGTTTCTTTATTAGTATTTACTTGTTTAGCCATTATTATATTTTGAGATTGTAAGTTACATTGTTACTATTGTTGCAGTGAGGGAAGGGATGGATGCAAAGTCTGTTAATGACCATTTGCGCTCAGAATCTGAAGGAAAAGGTTAGATTACTTTTTTACCGAGTATAACTTTTAATTCTTCTTTTATGAGTTTTCTTGATAGTTCGATATTTTATGAATTAAATTGGTTTATTATCTTGTATTTACACTTCTGGGCATATTTAGGTGATGAAGAGAGATGTTCTGCTGTAAAAAATGAGCATATGTTTGCCCTTGTTAATCCTAAAGATGTCGATAGTGCTACAAAATCTTATCTTCAGGTATACATGTTTATTTTAGCTCTTTCTCTTTGTTTGGGTAAGTGTGCGTGTGAGTCTTCTTTAAAGAATGATTGTTTCCTTTTACCATTCTGGATTGAAGATTTTCTTAATAAGAGATTGTCCTTGCTTTTAATCGAGTATCCATGGTCCTCTTCTGATCTTTCTTGCTATAGCTTTTGTTGTGCAATTGATTAAATTGTCTTGAACAAAATTGGTTTTACAGGAAGTGCTGAAGTTATACAATGGGGAGTTACCGACTATGAATTATGCTGCAAACACAGGAAAGCAGTCTATGTTCCTTGAGAGATGTGTGTCGAATGGGTATCATACAAGTTTATTTTGTCCTTATTTCAATTATTTCCTTAACGCAAAATGGTTTTAGTTGATCTGATGATTATCATATGTTTTTAAGAATATGGATTCACAATTGTTGAAATTGTATCATTGTGGCAATAAATTACAGATTAAAAGAAGCTTTAAATTGTATATTGTTTTGCTGCAGGAAATATTGTACATTGACTCTGAAGAATAAGTCCATTGATGGTGTTGAGGAGGTAGACTTATTGCATCGTTTGGTTTCTCTTTCTTTATTATATTATAAAAGCTTACCTGGCCACAGCATTTCTTTATTACCTTGCAGTTTCATACCAGTAATATTCTTCTAGAATTTACTTTTTATTTGCCATAAGTTAGACTTAACAAATCTGAAAGGTGCATTTTCCTAGAGAATATAGCTCTATGGGTGGTCTAATTCATGATCCCTTTGTCTTTTCCTTGGGCCATGTAATTTTCTTCTCAAGTCTAGGCACACCAGGACCAGTAAATTACTATGAAGAAGTTCCAAGTTTATGTTGGTAGTTTAGAATATTGAAGGATTTTATTATTCTGCATTAGATAAGAAAAGTTCTTTATGAAATAATTTTGGTGGACTAAGTACTTCGTGGTGGTGACAAACTATTCTAGCTAGCTTTCATAAATTAAAATATAGATTATGAAAAGTTATGTTTGTGCATCAAGTGAAAAGTTGCATTTGTTCAGCAAGAATGGTTATAATTTATCATTGATGAAATATTACAATTGATCACAAAGAATAGTAATGCTTGATCATTGATGAATTTGTTCATCGAGAGTTGTCTTATGAAATGACATGATGAATGACATGTATTTTCATCAACTACATAAAAAACTTTTCTATAGAACCATTTTCACTGTTCTTCTTGGAGTGTTTAGGGTTTTGTTGTATTTTGGACTCATATTAAAGCCATAAGGAAATTGGTCTACGTGTCTGACTCAAAGCCATCTTACTTTCTTAACCTTATTTCTTTCCTTGTTTCATTCTCTAATTTTCTAACTGTTTATATCAAGTTTATTGCTAGTTGCATTTATTTATGTGGTTCATACACCTATGGATATTTAAAAAAGCAATGATTTTTTTTCTTTGTTTCTTAGTATCTTTTTCTTGTTCCTTTGGCAGGTTATAGCTGCAATTACTTATCAAATCATCCCTGCTGACACACAGTTTGCTGAGATCCCTCTTGCTGCTGTTAATTCAATCTACCAGCATAAGGTTTATTCTCTTACTAGATGTTTTCCACTCACTAGTTTGTTGCTTGTTATTGTTCAAAATATCATTAGGTTTACGATTTCTTGAGGAAAGGACTTATACCATTCCTAACAACACAGTGGATTGATGTTTTTCAAATTGTGATATGAACTGCCTCATATGCTTCAATAATCTTTTCTATTTACTGAAAAATCAAGAGCAACTTAACAATATGGAAAACTAATTGGGACTATGAAACTGCAAATAAAGTTTTATATACATGAAACTTCTCTTGAGAGAGGATTTAGTTTAAATCTGCTGGAATTTCAAAAATTATTGAACACTGCTCATATACATGATTTTGATTTAGTGTTATTATTTTATTTGACTTTTTGTACCATTGGATGCTAGTTTGGGTATTTCATGTTCTAAGGTAACTGACATATTTCAATAATTTCAGGGTTTTGGTCACATGTTGTATATAGAATTGAAGAAGAGACTTCAGAGTGTTGGTATTCGCACAATATTATGCTGGGGTGACAAGGAATCTGAAGGTTTTTGGCTTAAGCAGGTAATGCATGGATGGAACATATCATAATTGGCTGACCTTTTCTTATATTAGTCTGTATTCTGAATGCAAATGATAATATATTTTGCAAAGAAGTAATCTTATTTCTTTTACCCAGTTTACAAGTGTAGTTGTGTACAGAAAGAAATTAGGTCCTGTAAATCATGTTGAACTTATTTATTTATTTATTTTAAAGATGTGTAATCATATCTTAATTAGAAACAATAAACTTAGTAATTTATGCTGATGAATGCTATTACTCTTTATGATGTTTGACTTCTGTGTTGTAGGGCTTTGTATCAATAGCAGAAGTGGACAATAAGGGTAGAGCTCGTAGGCTTCCTATTAAGGCTGATATACGTAGAGCACTGTGCTTTCCTGGTGGTTCAACCCTTATGGTTTGTCATCTTAGTAAGGATATTTCAGCTGCAGGAGAATATCTGCGCTTCTGTTTTCCACTAAAGCCTTATCAGAAGTCTCAATCCTCGGCTGCTGATGGATCTGGAGGTCAAAAGGGAGCCAATATTGGTGCGAACCAGTGTGCTTGTTCTTCACAAGTTGCAAAGAGGAAGGTTTGGGAAGCCTCATCTTCCTCTTTGAAGACGAAAAAAGTTAAGGGAACTCATCAAATTGACAGTCATCAAAATGTCTGTCAGTTAGATTCCAACTGGCATATAATCCCAGATAGTGACAGATATGGTTCTTGGCTTGATGGATGTTCCTTTGCTTCAACAGATAAATCATTAGTGGAAGTTACACCTGGAGTTTCTTTGGCTAATAATTGTATAATAAATGAGGCTCAAGAAGGTAGACCAAGTTGCATGACACCGGAAGCACCGACTGCCAAAGAACTTCAGTCATATAAAGAATGCTTTAGAATTATGTTAATGAATATTGCGGATGATACAAAGAAAACACATCTTATAAAGGTATGTTCACTTCATTTTTTTGATGTGGCTCATACATGAATACGTACATAATACATATATACATGCATATAACCACAAACTAAGCCCTTTCCTACCATGTAGAGACTGACCAAACATTGATCATATTGCCCAAAATGCTAGTCTCCTTCAACCTTTTTTTATCACCCTTACACATCATTTCATCTATTAGTCATCAACTTGTGTTTCTGCTGTGCAGCAAAACTTGTAAGTTAGTCTCCTATCATGTTTCCTTCATTGAGTTTGCTTAAAACAAAGTCAAATCACTAGCTGCTGGAGGGAATAGTCTTTGTAAACCTAAATAATCTTCCACTTCTCACTTGGAGAAAGGTTTTGGACCTTTCATTCTCTTCAATTGAAAGCATATGCTCTCAAGCACATCTTAGGCATAACTAGATTTCTTTCTCAATTCAGAAATTGGTGGTTCAATAAAAAAAGGCAGCTTGGAGTGTAAAGCACTCCCGCTATGTGCGAGTCCAAGGAAAGGTCTATTGTATACTGTCTTTTCTTGCATTTTTGCAAGAGGCTGTTTCCACGACTCGAACAAGCATTAATAGATTCTGTTCAATTTATTAATGGGGTTTGTGCTTCAATTTAATTTATCCTGGTACTTTTTCATGCTGCCTTATTTGACATCTATGTGTTAAGCATTATATTTTTTTGATATAGGTAATTGAAAACCTTGGTGGCTCTCCTACGTTTAATGGAAGCATAAGCACACATATTGTGACAGGAAAAGTGAGAAAAACACTGAATTTCTGCACTGCTCTCTGTTCAGGGTAAGTCTTAATTGAATAGGCATAATGATAAGATTTTGAATTCCTATGGCTTTGCTTTCATGGATAATGTGAACATATCATGATATATATCTATGGTTTTGCAACCAGTTAACATCATTGAATGTTTTAACTTGTAAAATTTTTCTACTTTTACCCCCTTAATTATTCCCCACTTGCAGGAGTGATTTCTTGCCATTTTTTGGTAGATTCAGTTTTATCTTTATGTTAAAACGATATAGTACTTTCATTCATTTTCATGTTTGACATTTTCTCCATTCTTTTCTACACATGGTATTCATATTAACGAGTTTGTGATCTTATTGTGCTTTCCAAATTTAAAGATGGTATCGGGGCTAATATATGGAAACCTGCTGCGTGAGAGAAATTATCCACAATTCTTTTACTAAAGTTCAAAATATTTTCTTTTGCTCACAAGGTGTAAAGAAGCAATGAGCATTGTGTACAATTCTTATTGATTTCCTATCAAACACTTTTGAGGGTGAATATAGACTTTTCTTGGGTACATCAATATCAACATACTACTAATAGCATAACAAACAACGTTGTTCAAAGCATGGTTACATGTCATGAAGGATGGCTTAAAGATTGGCCTGCATGCATAGAGGCTTTCGTGTCACAGTTCATAAGCATTGTAGAAAGCATTATTATTTCCAGAAAGATGGAAATTTCCACTTTAGCCTCTAAAATTTATATGATGATCATCTTTTACTAAAATAAATTTGGTTTCTTTCTCATAGTTTTAGTCATTGTTAGACTCCTTGATTCATATCCTGCATGTTTTGACACGGATGCCTCTCTTTGCACGAGCGCACAAAGGTATCTGATATGTGCTATAGATTCACTCCATGAAGGTTTGACCTAATGCAGGGCTTGGATAGTTTCACCAAGTTGGTTAAAAGAAAGCTTTAGGGAAGGAAAATTTGTGGGTGAGTGGAAAAGAATATATAGATTTTGATTACTTATAAGTTATACTCAATAAAGTGCTATTGAAGTTTTCAACTTTCTGTCTTACCCTGCAGATGAATTGCCTTATATATTACATGATGAAGATTATGTATTGAAGTATAGAACTGAGCTAAAAGATTCTGTTTTTCGAGCAAAGGCAAGGCCTGGAGCTCTGCTTAAGGGATACAACTTCTGCATGGCAGCTCATGTTCAACCTCCTGTCACAACGCTGTCTGCCATCATAAAATCAGCTGGTGGAAATGTAAGCTCTAGAGTCTAACCATCTTGTTGTGTGTGATTTAGTTTTTGATCTAGTATAATCACATCAAAGATTTTCTGGGCATCTTGTTACAGTTAGTATGCTTATGGCATCAATGGTGATTTATTTGTTGGTCTAGTATAAACACATAAAAGATTTTGCATGTCAAAGTAAAAAGTACATATTTAAGCACAGATAAAATTGGCCAATGCGAGGCTGCTGTATAGACAGCAATTCTTAGTAAATTTTCCCTGAATTAGGTCTTGTTGCCCTCCAGTTGTTTTAATCCGGCTTCTTTACTTGTTTAGATGATTGATACTTATACCCATGAACAGAATGCTTACAGTTAAAATAGTGGTTCTAAAGATGTTAAACAAAGATTAGTTGCTAGTCTCAAAAGTGATGTAAATTTTATTGAAAGCTTGAGAACTCAGTTCAGACTATCTCGATTTATAGGGTTTTCATATCCTTTGATGGAATCATCATTAAGTAATATTTTGATGTTAGAAGACAGTGTCTTGCTAATTAGCAACATGCGAGGATTTTTAGATTAGTACAATTATTGTTGGGTTCTTTGTTTGCTCCAATTACTTTTTGTGAGTTTCCCTTGTAAGAAAGCATATGCCTTAATGCATGGTACATAAGCACAGATGCATTCGCGGCATCTAAATGTACTTAAATTATTTGAATGATGCTCGGATTATTGTTTAATTCATGACTATAACCATAACTAAAACTTTCTCAACCACATATGAAGGTGTGCTTTTAAGATTGTAGCTGGATGTGGATTAACTTTGTCCGCTATTTGTACTTGTCATACTGTCGACATAGATTATTCGTGGACTGGACAAAGTAAATGAAGCATCAAAAACATTCTTCATTGCGTGCGAAGAAGACATGGAGGAGGCACTATCTGCTCTAAAGAAAGGAATATGGACTTTCAGCAGTGAGTGGCTGATGAACTGTGTCATGAGACAAGATCTAGATTTGGGGGCTCCCCAGTTTGCAGAGTCTTTGTAAGGAGACGTTAACTTACATGGTCAATAGGGAAGAACTGGAGATTCCATTTACGTGTCGCCAATGACTTATTGGGACGGCATTGCAGTTTCTAGGATTGAAAAGGTTGTTTTTATGGCAAAAGAATGTTCTGATTACCTGGGATGTAGAGAATTTCTTTGAAAAATAAAAAATAAACCAAGTACTCATGTATGATACTCGTTAATTAACCAAAGACATGAAAACGAATTAAATTTTCTTTCGTCAATAGATGAGATGGCACTCGGAGTTTTTAAAAAATATCATTGGTTAGCAAATTTTCAAAAATAAAATTTAAAAGGTCGGATAAAAAAGGCTTGCGGGTAAGCCAACTTGTGTAACTCTAAATGGATAAGGCACAGCGGATAGGGCCGTACGCAATGTACAGTTTTGGGCTTCCAAGTTCAAACACACGACATGAACCATCCTGTTTCAGGCTAATCTATGGTTGTCTTTGCCAAAACCTGAAACCTCTTCTCCACTTTATTCTTTCTTTGTATCTTTGTCTGTCTGTCTGTCACGATGGCGGCAGAAGCTGTGTTTCTAAGAGGACTTGCATCAATTCCATGGCAATCTTCTTCAACAACAACAAATAAAAGGTCAAAAACTAGCCAGCTTTTTCACTTCACCATTCGGGCTTCTCATTCCATTGATGAGAAGAACAGGGCCTACAAGCAACTTGGTCTGTTTCCTTTCTTAGCTCTTTTTTTCTCCTTCATTTCTGTTGACGAATTTACCTTCTTGGCTTTATAATTTGAAAGGGGTTTCGGAGTTAAACCTAAACCAACACTGATTTTGCTTTATTTTCTTTATGCTTCTTAAATCTGATTTTCGGAATTGCATAGAGGCTTTTTCAAGCTGAAAAAAGTGTGAATAAAGGTTTTTCGTTGTTTTAATATTTGTTTGGGAACGTTCTGTCTGGGCTTAATTTTGTATGCAAAAAATCTAAAGTATTTTTCCTTGTAAGAGTAGCTACATTGCTTTAATAATTGTAGTTTTGATGCTTTAATTAATGATGGCATATTAAATTATCCAAATGCTCCCATTGATTTTTCAGTGACTTTGATAACTGCAATGCAACATTTAACATGTGACTTTTCGATTTTTCTTCAGTTATATCCTGCACACCAAATCGATGCCTAACATTATTTTCATATTACCAGAATGATAGCATATTGCTTTGTTAGATTTTAAATATCAAATATTGGACTGCTTTAAGTACTTCTAATGTGCATGTTTAATAACTGGCTGATCTCATTGTATGATGCCTCTTACTTCAAAAGAATTTGAAATTGTGAATAAATTTTGGGAGATAATATACTAGGCAAAACCTCTATGCTTTTGAAACTCAGGCTTGTTTAAGTGAGAGACACTTGGGACATGCACAGCTACTGTTACAGGATCTAAAATGTTTGGAGGGGCATTTGAAACTAAAATTCTTATTGAAAGGCTAATTATATCTGATTAGTTAATTGGAGTATTAGTGGATAAACTTATGTTTCTTGTGTAGATAGCTGCCTAGCTGGAGATGTTACCTTTAACATTCTAAATGTCTTTCTTAACTAAACAAGCCGGAAGACAACACCGAAAGGAAGTTCTTAATCTGATGATGCAACTTGAGGGTATAAGTTTTCCTAGCAGGGCATTACTGATGATTTATATTTTCTTGGTCTTACAAAGAAGTGCCAGTCATCAAAAGAATTTGCAATTTTGATAAATTAATTGCAATCTTTGTTTTTCATTTTCTGAGTTAACATCTCATTATCATTACTCACATTAGGTCTATTTTCATTAAAAAAGAAGATTGAAGATGTCATTCTCCGAGCTGAGATGTTAGCACCAACTGCCCTGGATGTTGAAGAAGCAAGGAGAATCAAGCAAGAAGAGATGATTCGTGATTATGATCTATGGGACGACCCTGCTAAATCCAATGAAATTCTTGTCAAGTTGGCCGATAGTGTCAAAGTGGTTGAAGCTCTCAAAGATCTAAAATACAAGGTGATGTGCAGCTGAGACTAGTTTAAAGGAGTTGTATATGAAAATTTCACATTTCACTTTATAGAAATATCAGATAGGACTTTGTTTGATCTAATAGACTCTCTTGGCTCCTTACTTGTACAAATGCATACATTGTTGGTTAGTTTTTGCTGCATAACTTCTTTCTTGTGGTATGACTTTATTAGTAGATCTTTATTGGAGCTTTTTTTTTCCTTCTAGTGGAGGAACTGAAGTTTTCCAGAAAGTTATAAAACAATTTTCGCTTGTTTCTGCAGGCTGAAGAGGCAAAGCTGATCACACAGTTGGCTGAGATAGATGCTGTCAATTACAGCCTCTTTGAGCAAGCATATGAGGCATCTTTGGTTGTCAGTGATTTGTTAGATAAATATGAGGTCTCTAAGCTCCTTGGGGGACCATATGACATGGAGGGGGCATGTATCAATATTAAAGCTTGTCCAGGAGGCTACAAATATGAGGTTTGACTTCCACTGTTCCTTTTCTTTTATCATAAATTTAACTTTGACTAATTAAATGCGTCACCTTTCTTTAATGAAACGTCATATGGCTTCAAAATTTTGCTTCTGTTAATGTGTAAATGCTTTTAATTACCAAATTGAGCAGATAAATAGGTAACTCTGAGTCAGATATTTTGAACTTAGATTACAAGACTTCTTAGTTGTGTGGAGTTTTTTTATGAACTTTTTAATATTTTCAATGTTTTGTCCAAGTAATCTATTTGAAGATTTATTCATAGTTACATACTGAGAGTGGAATATTCATCATCATGGACTTAAATTATAGATAGTGTTCCATAAACTAATATACAAACTTATTATCGAACAAAATTTAACTTTTGTGAGGTTCAGCCGATATCATTTTGTAAGCTTTTAATATTCCTCCAATGTAGAAATTTGTAGAGTTTTGAGGCCAATCTCTTTTTTAGGTTATGGATCTAGGCTAAGGTGGATGCCATCATTTAAAAAAGTGTTTGCTCATGCAGCAAGCTTGGAGCATGAGACATATGGTCAGGTTGATGCTTCATTCGGTTTTTTGTTGTTTGTGATCCACAATTATATCCCCTTTGTTCTAACATGGTGTTAAAAAATAATCTTTTCAGGTCTGGGCTGAACAACTTCTTAGTATGTATATCAAGTGGGCCAAAAAGCAAGGTTATAGTGGTAGAGTGGTCGAGAAGAACCTTTCTACTAATGGTGGTATTGAGTCAGCAGCTATTGAGTTTGAATTCGAATATGCTTATGGTTTTCTTTCAGGGGAGAGAGGTGTCCATTTCATGATAAGAAGTGCTCAAAATGGATCTGATCACAATGAGGTAAGTTTACTACTACGTTTCTGACCTGAGATTCAGGTCATCTGAATTTCTCACCTGCTTAACTCCGAGGAAAGAATTTACTCACTCCTTTTTTCCCCTCCTTTCTCCCACAATTTTTTTTTTTTTTTCATTATTAAGAGCCCATTCTGTCTTACCAAACGTTTTCTGTTTTTGGGAGATCTTGCAGGTTAGCTCAGTAGGTGTCGATGTTGTTCCTCTGTTCCTTGGAACAACTCCTGACCTCCAAATCAGTGATGAGGATTTGATTTTTTCACCCCCTTTGTTACTTGGAGAAAAACATGGCCGAACTGGATGCACGGTCTGTGTTCAGCATATCCCTACTGCCATAACTTTTCAATCTTCAGGTGCTTAATTTTCTATCAGAAGTCATTATCCATGCTTTATTTGGAGTCAACCTCTAGCTATATTTTGTTTAAATTATTTTTGATCAACTTGGTTTCGAAAATAGCATATACAGGTAGAAATAGTCAATGTACTATAATTTAATGAACACTGCTGACCAGTATGGATGGTGAAGAAATATAACTCCAGAACTTACTGTGTACTGCTGAAGGCATTTAGTGAAGTAACAATATCTTATTTCCCTCACCTTAAATTACACCCAACCAGAATGGAAGAATCTTATTAGTTGCTGGTAAATTCCATGTATACCTTTTAAATCATGTTATTGGTAGTTGCTTTTTACCATGAAATGAAGATACACAAAAGCATTGAATATTGACAAAGGCAGCACAAATTACTATGAATCTGCATATATTTTCAGGAATTTCTGATTCTTGAGTTTTTTGTCCTCGGTGATGGCAAAAATAGTTAAGAATGGTTTTGACAGAGCTGGTTATACAAGGTTCTCTGCATCAAAAGGAATGAACACATGACGTGCAAAATTCATCTCATCATGACAGTCTTAGAAAATCATCTTTTATGTGCAGGTGAGAGGAGCTACTTTGCTAATAAAATCAAAGCCCTCAATCGGTTGAAGGCCAAACTTCTTGTTATAGCAAATGAGCAAGGAGTCTCCAGTTTAAGTAGCATCAAAGCAGATTCAATTGTGGATGTGTGGCAAAAGGAGACTCGGAGGTACATGTTTCACCCCGGCAAGTTGGTGCAAGATGTAAAAACAGGCATTGAATTACCTGGCCTAAATTCTGTTCTGGATGGAAATATTGAACCTCTTATTGGAGCTCATATCAACACTAGACATTCAAATTTTACAATCTAAATTCACGTTGCTTGCTTGTACTCCCTACAACTGAAGCATTTTTACTGCATATGATTTTTGAAAACATAAACCTGATCAACATCTTCATCTTTCAGCTTATGAACACTCGAGTGACCAAAGAACTGGCTGATGGCATAGCTGTGGATTCTGAATAATAAAAAGCTATATTAAAAAAAAGGGCTATCGTTGATTTTTATTCCATTGAAACTGTCAATTACATTGTTGATATTGTTATGGTGTCCATTTGCTTGTTTGCATCAAGGATTCATGCCCAAAGCTTTAGAGCCCCTCTAAAGCAGGTAGTGAAGCAGTTTTAAGAGACTTCATTCTGAAACAGCTGTGGACAGGAGCATTGATGAAAGTCCCAATGTCCAAATCCAAACCCAAAAATGTCGAAACTGAGGAGAGAGATTCATACTCAATTCCAAATAACCCGATCCGAAAAGACAAATTGACCCTTTCTCTGCTTGCGGGGATACTGGCTGGTGCAATGGCTTATGTGGAAAACGCGTGGCAAGATCTGGTTGGTTCAGTGACTCCAACAGTGATACTAAACAAGAAGACTCAACCCAGTCTACGTCTTGTTGGCCAAAACAAAAAAGGAAATCAAGCGCAGTCAAACTTTCTACATATATAACATAAAAATAGATGCAATGAAAATTCAAAGAGAATTAATTTGAGAGAAATAAAAAATTTGCAGAGAAACAGGGCGGCAGCGATGGCAGCTCGCAAGAGAGCTTCAGTAACCACAGCAACAGGAACAGAACCAAAGCCAAGTCCTCCTCAAACCAAAGAAACAACCACCCAAATCGACCCACCACTCGCTCCGCGTTCTGTGTTTTCTTTTCAATTCCATATTTTTACCTTCTTTACCAACACTATAAGATTGAGCAAGACCTGAAGAGATCCATCCTTATCAATGCTGCCCTTAGCGTTACTGGCTTCTTCCTTACTCAGAGAATGATTCCTGTTGCTTTTTCATATGTTTTGAAACGTGGTTTATTTGGATTTGATATTAACAAGAAGGGGACCCCTCAAGGAACCGTTAAAGTGTAAGTTCAAAACTTTGTTTTTTCTTATAAGAAAAAGTTTGAATTTTGATTGCTTTTGAATTATGATGAACGGGGTATGTTTTACTTTTCAATTTTGATTGGATTAGCTACATGGTTTAGGGTTTTTATTAAAATTCATAAGCTGAGTATCTGGCAAGATCTTTTTTTTAACCTTACATTGTTTAATGAATTTCTTAATTTACTTTCAATTCAATGAACACATGAATTATCTATAACTTAGATCCTCAATTTTGGTTTATGCTTTTGTATTAGAACCTTTATCTAATCTATCAAAATTTTTTTTTTTAAATTCTATATGCTGACACTATTTGCCATTATGTTTTCGAATTCATATGGTTAAGTTTGAGTTTTGTCCTTTCATGAAATTTACAAAAATATAAAAATTACTTAGAAGATGGTTTTGGATTTTGCAGGCCTGAGTCATTGGGAATTGTTGTAGGCATTGTTTTCTTGGTTTTGGCTATCTTGTTCCAGTATTTTAACTTCACAGCAGATTCAAATGTAAGTGTCATATGTCCAATAAGTTTCTAGCTGCTTTTTGGCTTTTTCCTGTCTTTTTGGATTTTACATTGTGCAGTTGTATTTTTATAGTATTAGAAATAAATAATTTATGAGAATATTCAAACACTAGCAATGATTGATACCATATTTTCAGGAAGTTAATGCATGGTTTAACTTATAATTATCCATACATTTGAGGTATTAATGTTGGAACTTGGATGAAAATGAAATTAGTGGGATTGTAAAGGGCAAGGTGGTGAGAGAAGGAAAAACAAGCAAAAGCAAGAAAAATAGGAATTTTGTTGGAATGTATAATAAGGGCAAATGGTTAGAACCAGCATAAAAATAGATAAAAAAAATATAAATTCAAGATTTATTCCTTTTCACCAACTGAACTAGGTAATTGTAATATTTGTTGTCATTCTTATTTCCATTTCCTGCCATATTGCTATACTTAAACCAAACATAACATTAGCAAAAGCATTTGTAAAGAATGTTTCTGGTAGGTATTGAAGAAAAAAAGGAGTACCATATCAAAAAAAGAACAAAAAGAGCCAGATGTTAACCATATTACGTAGTTGAAGTCATTCTAGAATATGATTTAGCTTCTTTAAAACTTTCATCAATTGGTAAAGCCCTTAATTGAGTGGAAGGTAGATAACTTTTTATGAAGCTGACCACAACTGGTTTGAGGTTAAGCCTTAGTTGAGTATAGTACAGGGAACATTGAACTTTGAGATAACTTCATTTTCTTGCATTGGCTTCTAAGAAACTTTTCTTCGTTTATTTTTCTTGTACATATTACATTTTCTACTGCATTGCATGTTTTCTGTCTTCCAACTTTAAGCTAATAAAGATTTTGGTTCTTGCATCATAATTTAGTGTGAATCCTCGTTGCATTAGCTCTGATGTTAGATTATTTATGCAGAGTTTAATGTTTTATACAATTTAAGAGCAATCTGTTGGCTATTGTTTATTTAGTGGCTCGTTGAGTACAATGCAGCCTTAGCATCTATCTGCTTCATGATTTTACTTGGATTCGTAGATGATGTCCTGGATGTCCCTTGGAGAGTGTGAGTATATATTTACCCTTAAGGTTTTTGCATACTCTATGAAAGCCTGTTACTTATTTCTGTTAATTATTTGGAAGGATGTCCATGGCTTCTGAACTAATGTTTCAAGATCCTTTTTTTTTTATGAAGAGCAGGAAACTACTACTGCCATCAATTGCTGCTCTTCCATTGTTAATGGCCTATGCTGGGCACACAACCATCATCATTCCAAAGCCTCTTGTTTCATATGTTGGGCAAGAGGTGTTGGATCTAGGTATGGAACGGTGCTGAGAATTGATTTGGCTGTAAGAATATGAACCTTTTGTAATGTTTTGATGGTATTTGTTCTATTTTGTTGTGATAGGATGCTTTCTTTCTTTTAGTGATCATCAACCTAACTCTAATGAAAGCCTATAATCTCTAAGTTCTGCCTATTGGGTATGTCGGATCAACTTTGGTTCAAGTCATGTAGGGTTTTGACTTTTTTTGGGTTATTTCAAGTTGAGGTTCAATTCATGACCTTTGGTGTTAAATCAGGTTGGTCAAGTTGGGTTTTGGCTGGATAGAGGGGTCTTTGGGTTAGGGTCGGCTTCAAACTACATTTTTCACCACAAGAAGCTAGTAAAGCAAGTTTAGCTTGGGGTGAGGTTCAGGTATTTGGTTTTTATCATTGACCTTTTCAAGAAGTTTTGGTTGGTTTAGATCTCACATTTGTTGGGCAGGTTTATGGGGTTGGATCACCTTTTGTTGCCTCTGCTTGGGGTAAATGCATACATATATTTGGCATTTGCTGTAAACTGCAAATGTACGTTTGAAGTTTTAACATGCCTATTTCATGGATATATAATATGAATTATCTATTAAAAAGTGCTCACAGTATAGTGAAAACATGTCATCAAAATGTTGTATCAAGTTTGCAACCTGTCCTTCAGTAAACACTAAATATACTTGTTTTGACGTGTTAGCAAGTCCTGAGCTTTGGTTAATGGCTGCTCTTATAATTGCAATAATTGAAATGATTATCCTCAAGAGGTGGAAATATTTGCCCCTTTGGCTGATGAACATAATAACTTTATTCTCTTTAATGAAAAATATATATATGCTAATTGATAAGTTAAACCTTTACCCTAGGATAATATATTATTGAAGAAACTTGGTGTGGGCCTACGGTATAATTATGAACCTTGTTTCATTGAGCCATGCCAAGCAATCAATCAACATGGATTTTTTTTTTCAATGATGAACTAAATCAATAAGAGGAGTCTGTTTTTAGATAGGTGTGCAGGATCATACATACAAACAAACAAATATATGCCTCTATTTTTTTCTTTATGTTCAGACAACTATATGTCTTTGAAGCAAGGACACTCCAAACTTCATACTATATTAATGTCATATCTATATGCTGATATATGTTGGAGGATATGTGAGGTTATAAGGGAATGTGTTGCGATTTTTCTTGGATATAGTTGGAGTTAACATATAATCTTTTTATATGCAAAAAACTGAGGGCCCAATATTACTATAATTATGAAGAGTTTTTGAACTGCTAAATTTTTTTGTTCAAATTTCCAATTTTCATTACTTTTGTTTTTTAAAGAGATAGATCACCATGTCAGTGAGCGTTTATCTTCAAGGAACTCATTGGTAGTTTTGTTGGTGTACAAATTGTATATGGGGCTTTTAGCAGTATTCTGCACAAATTCAATTAACATTCATGCTGGCTTGAATGGCCTTGAAGTTGGGCAAACAGTTGTGATTGCATCAGCTGTAAGCATAAACACTATTCTATATATTGAAAATCCGACTTGTTAGGAGTCTAACTTCTTTTCGCAATTCACAGATTTTGATACATAATTTAATGCAAATTGGAGCATCCTCAGATCCTGAGTATAAACAAGCTCATGCTTTCTCTATTTATCTTGTTCTACCTTTACTGGCCACTTCCTTGGCTTTACTTTCTTACAACTGGTAATGATCCTGCATTTTAACACAAGCTGTTTGCAAATGCTACTTATTGACTAATAAATTCTTACTAATGGCTTTTTGCTTCTCTTATTTGTAGGTATCCTTCTTCAGTTTTGTTGGGGATACATACACATACTTTGCTGGAATGACAATCGCTGTAGTTGGGATTCTGGGACATTACAGGTGTGTTCCTCACGCTCTGTTTCATTTGCCAGCTCTTTGGTTGTATAATGCAATAGCTGTATACTTTCATACATAGATAAATCTTGCATACATGTACACATGAATGTATGTATGTGTGCATGCATCTCAGTTTTACCCAAATGTCCTGGCAGTAAACATGGTGCCTTCTGAGTTCTGACTGAACATTTGGGAGTTAACATGTGTTAGTTTTATGTTAAAAAAGGGTGATGTGGTCAAGGAATAGAACCTGGCAAGTCAACTTGAAGGCCATATTTTAAGAAATATGCACTATTGCCCTCTATTAATGGCATGTTGGGTTCTAGAATATTTATCCCCGTCAAAACAAAATTGATGATTTGACCACTATCCTTTCTCATTTGATTTTGATTCTTGGTGCCTATTTACTGGGTAATTCAATACGTATTCATGGGTTAGAAGTGGGCATATCCGAGCATCCTGCTCCCATTAGCTATTTCGCTGGACTTACGTGACTTAATATTCATGTTTTTTTTTTCTGGACAAACAAAGTATTTTTGCTTACCATCAGCAAGTTTTAATGGAGAGGGGCAATATTTATAAATATTGATTAAATTTCTTATTGTTTTTCGTCTTCAAAATTTCTTGTTCCAGTGAAACACTCTTGATTTTCTTTCTTCCTCAAGTGTTGAACTTTCTCTCATCACTTCCTCAGGTTTGATTTTCTATCCTCTCTCTCTCTCTCTCTCTCTCTCTCTATTTGTGTGTTACTTTTTGATATGCAAAACATCTAATTGGAGTTCACTTAAATTTTTTATTAGCTTTCTGGCTATGTCAAATGTCCCCGACATCGTCTTCCCAGGTAACTCTTTGTACTCATATCAGACTTAGCTTGTTGCAAGCATAAAAAATTTCTTGTCTCTGATATCATTGATACCTTTTGTATCTTTAGGTTCAATCCTGAAACTGGACTACTTACTGGGACACGTGATGGGACACTTGTTAACTTTTACTTGAGAATATTTGGGCCGAAGTCAGAAAAGTCGCTCTGCATCCACCTTTTTGTTCAGGTGATTTTTTCATGTTAGCAGTCATTCTTCACTTAACCAATATTTTTTTTTCAATGTAATCTGCAAGTAACAGAGGAGTCAGGTTGTAGTAGACAACTTATACCAAGCATCTCGACCATACAATCTTACACAGGCTTGATGTGGAAAGATACGACAGAATTCTCTAACCAACCAACCAAATAAATTGGTTTTGGGTTTTCTGATCCTGACAACGAGTTTGTTATTTTCCAGTTGCTCTCTGAAGATAGACCGAATTTAAACACGAATGCAGTTCACAGCTTATAGTTTGTGATAATAATTCTAATTTCACTTGTTCAAGTTGAATGATCTGTGAGTTCAATTCATCATCCAGTCGTTTACTTCTGTCTCACATTAGTGTATGTTTACCTCTTCTTTTAGGCCTTGGGATGCTGCTTCTGTTTCATGCTTAGGTACTTCCTTGTTGGTTGGTACAAATAAGGTAGCAACATCGAAAAGAAAAGCAAAAAACGTTTGCTATAATTTAGCACGGGAACACGAAGCACATCTTTCGGTAGAGAGAAATGACTTGCAGTCCTCACACCATTGGTTTGGGATGAATACTGACATTAGTATTTACTTGCATTAATTTCATGTTGTGTGGAGTGGAAGAGAGTTTTGAGAACATTATATCCTATGAGACCTAAGACTCAAATTCTGTGCATTTTTGCATAGTTATTCCTAAATCTTTAGGCTTTAGTTGATGTAGAACTAGACGATGGCGCTGCCTGTTTAAAACTGTACATTGGTTGAGATAATTTGAACTATATTTCTTTTGTATTTTTTATGGTAATTCAAAATGAGCGCTCCCAACTTGTTAATGATTTTTACATTTTTTTTTTAATTGGATAAGCAGACTGCTTTCCTCGTCCAGGGTCTAATTGCATGGATCAATTATGGATTTCATTTGTAGACAACTTCAAGTTAACATCCAAGCTTTAAATTTCTTTCTCTTCCTTGTACTCAATGCAATGTGATTTAAAGAAAAACACATTTTTCGTCAGACAGTAGATAAAATATAAATCCAATTAACAAATATATCACGTAACAACCATTCTCAGGACTACAAATAATATTCAAAACTTCCGACAAGCCTTACGAAGAAGACAACTACAAAACTGCGACATAAACCGCAGATAACAGGGACTTTAGCAAGCTGTTGTGATCATATTTTATGCTATACATTCCAACACAAAGCAACAAATAAAACAATATTGAGACCTACAATCTACAGCATTATATACTATATGCTTGGGACTTTATATTTATAATTACAAAACTTGCCTCTCCCAATCCAATAGAAACTCGTGCTTTGCCAAATTCATTACGATTAATTGACCCACCCACAATAATTCACAGAGTTCCAGTGTGTCGAATCCACAGGTGGTCGTTCATGCACGAAATTTATCCTCTGCCTTCCTCTCACATTCCTCCATCCAGGATTATTTTGACGGTTATAACCATGAAACCTTGAGGTTTTATACCTTGACATGTACTGACCAGCGCCTTCTCTCTTTCTTCTAGTAACACGCCATACTCCCCAATCTCCACCCCTTCTACAATCCACATAGTTGGATTCATTGTTGTCCCACTCATTATAGTTATTCTCCCTTTGGTTCCATTCCCAAGAATTAGTCCAACAGTTCCCATATCCGGTATCTTTCATGTTGCCATTAATGGTACAATTATGCTCCCAAGAATTTTCATAGCCTTCGTTTTTCCAATTTGAAGACATGTTATTCTCCTTTGCTACACCCTCTTCAGCATCCCCCCAACCGCCACAGGAAAATGACTGATTCAAAATAAGAGATTTACCAAGGATCACAACATTCTCACTTTTATCCTTCTCGTCAGGAGCCTTGGGCTCCCTCTCCAAGTCCAGAAGCAGCTCAGGATCGATTTCGGAGTCCCAATCTATTTTATCAATATAACTATCAGGATCTGGGAGTCTTATGTCACAAGGAAGGCCATTAATCTCAGCCCAAAACCGGTTCTTAGCATTATGGAATGCCTCTTCACCAGCTGAATCATTCCACTTGACTACGTTGTCATAAAGATACATAAACCTCTTGGTCTCGAGAAGCTTCCGCCACGGAACAGAGCCTACCAATGTGCAAAACTTCTTCTCCCATGAAGGCACAGTTGGTTGCCAAGTAGCTGAGATACAAGGATTGAGAAATGTCAGGTTAATCATTCATACAGGAGTCACTATCCAATAAAATCAGATGATTAATGATGAGCATATCCATCCTCATTGAAACACAATGCTCTAGTTTCCACAAAGGGAAACACATACAAGACATTACATAGGAAAAAAAATTCTGATCTCTACTTTAATTCCGAATACAGCTGATCTCATAAGCTATTTCTGGAAAACCTCAAAAACGACAACCAAAATAAATACGCCAGCGAAAGCTGAGAAAATTAGGACTCAATGCCGTGTGCTCACTAGATAGAAGATAGATCGAGGCATTGTATTGTATTCTGGAATAACTACACATACTCTTTCTGGCATTGTATTGCTCATCTGGAACAATTCTGATGATCCCAAAATATCACTATAAATGTCAGAGTGGGTTTCCATATCAATTCTTACATTTGTCACTCAACAACTGCCGACTGCAACAAAAGGGTGGGAACCGCAGCCAGTTCCTTACTATTAGTACCCATGAAAAGAGGCAGCCAAGTCTAAACTTGATTAAAAGCTTTAACAGCTCCGCTAAAACAAAAAAATAAATCAATTTGGCATGAAGACTTTAAGATCAAATATTTTAAGTTTACCATATTAAAAGCTCATAAAAACATGTACCATTAATGAAAATTCCTAAATATGAACACACAACAGAGGCAGCCACATGAAGACACACCCTTTAAATTACCATATAAAAACAAACTTAAGAGAAAGTGAAAGCTAAAGAAACACATAAAGTACCAAGTGGTGGCTTTCTGCTATGTGATCTTGTTCCTTGCATTTCTTGATGATGAACTTCACCCTTTTGTCTTCTCCAGTTATTGTTCATACCCACAACCACAATCCCCAGAAAACAAAAACTGTTAAAAGTATAAAAAAATTAAAAAAAAAAAAATCAAATTGAAAAACAAGAAATAAACAGCGGCAAAAGACAGACTCTTCCAACAACAAAAGAAAAAACTGAGCAAGAAACCAAAAATAATTGAAAAAAAAGGTTCTTGGTTAGTGGAATTTGTATCAGAGTTATGATCTGAAACTTTGGCTTTTGATTGGATGAAAAGTTGCGGGAATTTGAAGGATTTGTTCTACGGGGAGAGTTATTAAAGTAGGAAACTTTTTTTTTCTTTTTCCAAGGTTTGTGTTTTTTTAAAACACGGCTTTTTTTTGAATTTTTAAGGAAACCATTTTGGTGTTTTATGGCTCATGGTTTTTGTTGAATTTACAAAATTGAATCTTTTTAGCGCTTTGCTTCGGTGAGAAGGAGCGAGTCATTGGCGGTTAAACTGGTCACACTTCCACGTGTTCAAATGGAGTTCGTATTCTAGATGCTTCTGAACTTTAAGTAAGTTATTCAGAAAAATAGATCCTTTTATATCGTTATAAATTTTATTTTGTTTTCTATTTTTTATTAATTTCGACATAAAATCTATTTCTTTTTCATCAATATAAATTATTTAATTGTTAAGGTATTTTTAAAAATATCACATGATTTAAAATTTACATAATTAATGAGATATTGTTAAATTCAACAAATTGATTTTTTAAAATATTATCTCTACAAAGAGATAAAATGTGAAACAATCAGTGTAATGTGATTATCCTTCACCGTATATTATATAATGTTTTATTTTTTTAATAATTTCTTTAGGAAAACTAATTTTTAAGGCTTTTATCTTTTAGTATTTTTAAACAAATATATTAGTATTAGATTTATTAAGGTATTATTGACATGTTAAATTATTTTTGAAATATTTATTTGATTATGTAATTTTTTTATATATGAAAATAATATTTTATTATAATTATAATTCATATTTATAAATTTATAAAAAATATATTTTATATAACGGAGCATACAAACTATAGTTACCAGCAAAGAGCAGACCACTGGGTAATCTCCCTCAGAGCTGGTCCACAGCCCCATCCTATCTTTACTTTCCCAACAAATGGAGCATTCGTACTAAAAATTTCACAGGACCAGAAGCTGTCCAGTGCAATGGTCCTAAATAACATTTATTCATAAGGCTTCATGACAATTTTATTTTAGTTTTGTTTTTGTTTTTTTAGAAGAAACAAAAAAATTATGCATCAATTATTGAATCAAACATTGAGTATCGCAAATTTTCTCCTTGCATTTATGTATAACAGAGAATTTTTTTTTTATTCGGCAGAGAGACCGCTCATATGTTTTTAAGAGAAATCTTAGTTGTTGAACTTGATAGATCACTTGAGGGGTTGGATTGAGACATGGATTTAATGTTTCTCAAGTTGCATGTGTTTTAGAACCTTTTGTCATTGTCCCTATTAATTCAGAGAATATAGGAGAGCTCATGTTTTAAAGATGCCTCAAATGTAATTTTTCTAACACTTTTGTTTCATTTCATGATCAATTTAAGTCTAACAAGAAAAAAATAGTTGATTAACATTTGAATTAGTTGATATGACATTGAAATTTATATCTGAAAGTTACAAACTCAAAAAAAAGTAAAAGATTCAATAATATGGTAAGAATTTCAATAAAACCTAACAGAAGTTAGAAATAGGCATGTCTGTGCCTAATGTTAATCATTTTAAATGACTTAACCGAGAGCAATGGAGGAAAAGGATTTATGTAACTGATCCAACCCGATTGGGATGTTGATCTAGATGAGCTGAGTTTTTATACTTTGATGGAACTAGAGTTCGTGGCAGCAAATTTGTTTTCGGTATGCACTATCAAACAAACGAGGGATGTTAAATGGGTATGCATTTTGCTCTCCAGGCAAAGTGTATCCCCAGACTTTGAAGAGCTTGGTGCAATTAAATCTACGACAAGAAACACAAATAAGACAATTGTCATCAATTTCTCCTGTTTCTATTTTATAAAGCTATTGGCAAAAAATTTAGGCTTTGTCAATTCAAATCTGATTACATATCTGCTATACTACCTGATTTTCTATGGCTCTAAATAAGCCTGGAATAATTTTGAAACATTAAAGAAACTAAATAATTAATCTTCCGACAGTGTGCTTTGCTTGCATTTAATCGTGATTAAGAACCAAAATGCATAGCAGGTTTGTAGGATATCTTGGATATGTTATTACGGCGAAAAACATCCCAATTGCAAATGCAAGATTATATTGGGTTCAGTCACTCTCTCCAACAAGATCCAGGGGCATCCCATGGGCTAGTGTCTTTGGAAACAATAATGATGCCCATGGAGTGGTTTGTGTGGCCAATGGAGTGGTTTTCAGCCCCTGGAATTCCTCAGCTTGTTTGCCCTGTGGTCAATTCATCAGATTCAGCTAAGCAGAATGATCAAAATATGGATGACAATAAGTCATGGATTGCCATTTATATTTATAAGCAGAATAAACCTTTTATGGTTATATTCTCACTATTTTAAGATGTTTGCTTCTTTTAACTGTAGACACTTCTTCATGCAATGTTTATTGTAAATGAATTTTAGTTAATCAAACTAAATATTAGTTTGCATGTTAAATATAAATAGTAATATATTGCAGCAAAGTTCATTATTGTAATACTTGATTGAAACATCAAAACCAAAGAATTAATTCGCTTCGGATCTGAAATACTGGTTACTGCAGATATCTTCAACTTGAGTGGTAGTCTGTCTGATGATAAAATTTGAAACTAGGCAGTGGGAATATGATTGTTAAATGCCAAAACTTCTTCTGTCTAATCATCTGCATCATTAATGTGGTCAAAATTCCTTTTAATTACGCAGCATGCATGTAATGCTCATGTGATTTCTTAACAGTCTGATCTAGCACAAGTTCTAATTTGCCAAATTAACATTGCTGTTAAAATATGCTTTTTTTTTTTTTTAATTTTGCATATAATTGTTAGCTTTCCTGAACTGAGCTCAAAGTTCCTTGTCTGGTGAACTAGAATGTAGTTTTAGGTGCTTGCACATCACGATTGGAGTGGCATCAGGCGGGTGTTTCTTTCTCCAATAGGGAAAGGGATCGCAGGTACTGAGAGACAGACTTGCTGGATGCTACCTCTCACGAATAACTACATGAGCCAACTGAGTTTTTTTCCTTCTTTTTCTTGGTCTTTCTTTCCAATGTGGCGAACAATGCTTCCCCTGCATCCAGCCCAATTATTAGTACATGCCCTGTTAAATATTGTGATAATTCTTAATTGCTCTGCTGCGGATGTAATGGACAAAAGAAGAGGATATAGTAATTGCACAGGCTAGTGTCTTTTGTGAAAAATCACTGGGATTGTTAATAGAATAGAGGAATTTTATTTAACTTGACAAAATGCTTAGCAGAATACATTGCAATTTTATAAAACTACTATGAAAAACCCAGATTTATTTGCCACTAGGTTGGCATCTTTGGAACACCTTTATTAAGAGGAGATGACAATGGTATCAGTTTAGTTTACTAATTAAAACCTAGGAGAAATGGCTTTACCGGCTTAATTGAAGCTAATTGAGTATTTCTCCTGTTTATTTGGGAAAAACAGCCCCCAATGTTTCTCAAATGCCGGTTCTTTATCACTTTCATCAAACATGGCAAACAAGTAAGTTTCTATAGGCTTTCCAGGTTTCTTTGGAGTCCCCTGATTCACATGTTGAACCAACTTTGTGTTATAAGTCATTGCATTATCAACACTCGCGTCCTGTCCACCATCTGATGGCCAACCACTTTCTGAAACAACAATGTCCAAAGATCCCTCCCCAGCCTTCTCAAGGGCTGAGTAAAAGGCATCTAGCATCGCGTCGAAAAGGTTCTGGTAATGCAATCGATCATCATTCACTACGATGGATGGAGCTGTAAAGAGAGCATAGTCAAGATGAACCTCTCCAGGGTTTTCAATGTGGCTAATGTATGGGTATATGTTAACAAGTAATGGAGCTTGGTTATCCCTCAGGAAGTTTATGACAGGCCCAAGAAGTTGTTGGTATTCAGAAAAGAATTTGCCGTGCGATGGAGGGTAAGATACTTCAAGTGCACCAAAAAACGTAGCCGTTGAAACTTTGATCTGGTTCCCTAGACCTGCTCCAACAATTGCATTACGAATGTTCTGCATCGCTGGAAAAAGGAATTGTGCAAATGAATCCGAAGGCTTTACTTCATTCCCAACAGCAATGTATTGAAAATTAACGCTGCTGTATTTCTTGACGTTGTCTTGGACCCATTGATCCGCATTGCCTTGACTGGTAGCAACGCTTTCAAGCTTCTGATTGGGAACATCTAACAAGAGCTTGATGTTGGTAACCCCGAGGGCTTGGAGAGCAGCTTCATCCGGACCATAGAGTCGCATTCTTTGGATGTTTTTTTGTTGGTAGAGGTCTATAACTTCTGCACTTGGTGGCAAGTCTTTAGCCATCATTCCGTAACAAACACCTACTTCAGCACCTGCATTCCATTATTAATTCAGTGGCAGCTTAATTTTAATCTCTGATGACATCTACTAAATACAATTATTTTATAAATGGACTCTAGATTTAAAAAATTAATATAGTTTTCGCTAAATAAATATCAGAAATTAACTAAAAAAAATGTAACATGTAGTAGTGACAAACGGGACCTGTGCTGTTTATATATGATAACACAAAGAGAGTCTAGAGGGCCTAAGAAATGAAAGAGAGACCTGTGGTTTTGAAGATAGCCATCAGCAACCCAAAAAGCAGCATAGTTGAATGCATGATGCAGCATTTGTCAACCGAACAAGATTTGCCCATTTGTTACTATATATTTAGGTATGTGGAACTGCACCGATGCCTCCAACACCAGTTCTTAGCAGCCTTTTATAGTGAAATAGAACTCAGGGTTTCATTTGGCGCGTCAATTACTCCTTGGAAAAGTATGATACAGAAAGAAAAAATCTCGGATCATTCAAGGCACATTTTGCAACTTGTTTACTGGGAGTTGTGACCTTGGTACTTAAAGAAAAGTCTTGAGTCGTTCATGTCCCTTCTGTAATTCCATCGATGACTCGTGATTCATGATGCTGGGTATCTCATTTTTTGTAATTCTGGCTAATTACTAAAATTTAGTCTGTCGATGTTTGAATGGAAGAAAAATTTTAAAGAATAATCGTTAAACGTAGGGCATACTTCTATTAGATAATGTATTAATGTCCATGGCCCTGACAGCTCCTCAAACTTGCTTGGCGAAGTTCAAGTCTAACTTAAAAATCATTTAATTAATAAAAGATTAGAAAAGTCTTCTTTTTTAAAATTTTTTAACCTTGACCTCCTTTTATTTTAAATTTATTATTGATTAAAATGTGAAAAAAAATACTTTTTACAAACATTGAATAAATTAGCTTTTAGTTGTATACTTTTAAAATTTTAATTCAATAATATATTTATAACAAATTAAGTAAATATTGATAAAAAAATTGAAAACCAAATGTCAAACGGTAGCATTTTTTATTTAATTTTAATTTTAAATTATATTTTAAAATATTAATATAAAAATTAATTTTTATATTTTAATAAAACTTTTAAATAGTGCCAGGCATATATATAGAGAGAGAGAGAAGAGAGAAAGGTAAGTCTGGATTTGATTGACATTTAAAGTTGTTAATTGTGCTTAGTTCAGCCCGACCTGATTAGACATTTAAAGGTTTATGGTTAATGCAGTAACGAAGGTGCATATGCCTAGCACTCCTTTGGTACGTACTTTCTTGTTTTTACACTTCTTTTTTTTCTCTTATAGTTATGTTATGGCAGGTGACATTGTGATCAGTAAGGTTGTTACTGGGGAGAATCCTGCTACGATGTTGACGAACGCTTTCCCTGCTTACAAATAAAGGCCTTTGGCCTTTGTCTGGAGGCATTGCAAGGGTGAGGCAGCAAGTGGTAAAGAGAGTTGAGGAAGCCGAATAAGGTCCCAAAACTTGTGATCTTCATCTTTAAAATTTTCTCGGGTTCATGGCATATTAATCCAGATATAATTTGAAGTAAACCACAACATAGAGTCAACAAAAATAAAAATCAACCACAAAGAATCTTTTTTATTTTAATCCACGATTCCAGCCTTCTTGTAGCTCTCTATGGAATCCACAAGAGTTTCTTCCAGGGACCGATAACTCCAGCCCAGCCTCTGTAATTTTTCTGAACTAAGCATCTGTGACATTTCGTCCCCTCCCTCAATGAAGCTGCCAATGCACAAGCGATTTAGATCACAAACAAGAGCAAGAAAATCATAGGCGGGTAAATCCGAAGTCATAACATAGTAACATACAGATTCCTTAAGGAAACCATATTCTTCAGCAAGACACTGACCTTTTAGGATAATTGTAGTGAGGAAATATACTTCTCAGCTTGCCAACAAGGTCATGTGTCTCGATCAAGTGAGCTGTGCATATGTACCTTCCTTCGGCCTCGGGCTTCTCATATACCATAAGCAATGCCTGAGCTACATCACGCACATCTACAATTGACCGAAGCTTGCTTTCCAGTGAGTCATACCCTTCTGCATCAACACATTGCAAGGGAAAGCCAAACAGAATTAGAATAGAAATGCCACAAGAAAATACCATGTTCAAAATGAAAAACTTAAACCAAACTCCTAGCAAACTTGTAGAAAATAAAAAACAAAAAGCACAAAGCCAGAAGACCATGGTTACAAGAATAAGAAAAGTAAAATTTCCAGGCTCCGGCAACAATAGCTCCAATCCAATACTATGAATTTAAGATATAAAATTCGAAAAGCCAAGTAAATTTCGTATTAAAACAAGGGAGCTGTGGCCACTAATTATATACTGCAAGGCCTAGCCAAAACTGGAATTAGTAAAACTTTCAAGCTAGAAAGTCCTCTTGATTCCAAAAGCATAAACAGTACTTCAGTTCATTTGCAAAAAACATGCAACCCAGACACACAAAGCCAAGCAACTTAGCTTGCACTCAGGGTGGAGTGCAGAAGCTTATGTAGGCGTGGTGAGGGTAGGCACTACCTTTTAAAAGTTTAATGAGAACCAAGCTACTAGCATTCACAGCGGGCAGCAAAAGTGGCCCTAAAATGAGAGTAGGACAAACTTATGCAGGCGTGGTGAGGGTAGGCACTACCTTTTAAAAGTTTAATGAGAACCAAGCTACTAGCATTCACAGCGGGCTGCAAAAGTGGCCCTAAAATGAGAGTAGGACAAACAGTAATAACATCAAGCCCAGTCTTTGTTGCAAACTCTAAAGCCTCACTCTCTGCTTCTGTTTTTGAGAGGCAATACCAATTCTGGCCAGGAACAAACAAAGAATAGAAATTCATAGTGAAGACATTTTCTTACTATCAATAAAAAAAAGTAGAAAATTTCAAACTCTTCTAGTTTTATACCTTTGTTCTTGTGCAGTATTCCTTGTCAGACCAACAGGTCTCATCCTTGATTTGACCCTTGGGCCAATTAGGGTTCATGAAAACAGCACTTACAGAGGACACTACAACCACCCGTTTAACATTCGCTTCAACGCATGCTTTAAGCACATTAAGTGTGCCCTTTACAGCCGGTTCAATCACTTCAACCTACAAAATAAATGAACATATGATAATGAGGTGATGAATGAGAAATTGAGGGCGGCAGAGGCGTTTCTTGCCTGGGGATTAGGAACGGTGGTGGAGGGAACAGGAGAAGCGACATGGAAGACACCGGTGCAGCCTACAATCGCGGAACAAAGAGAATGGAAATCCAACAGATCTGCCTTGAAAAGTTTGAGGTTGTCGGATGCTTTCTCAAGTTGATTCAAATGGGCATATTTGGCATCCCCTGCGCAATTCATGTGAAAATGAGAGAATGAAATTAAAGCTGCGGAAAGGGCTAAAAAAGAAGAAGAGTAATTGGCAATTAGAACCAGTTAGTCTAACGGTGCCATGGACAGCGTAGTTGTTGGAGAGGAGCAGCTTGACAACCCAAGAGCCAAGGTAGCCTCCAGCCCCGGTCACGCATACTTTTCCCTTGGCGGCTGCCATTTCCTTACTTCTTCAATCTTCTCAAGTACGAGTGCTGTCTTTTATCTCGCACGGTAAGTATTAGGTACACAACACCGTGGGCTTTGCCTATTTAAGTGATTTTAAGTTTATTATTAGTTGTTGCAGAGTTGTCAGTTGTTACTAATAGGATTCTATAGTCGTGATGGAGGGGAATCTTTTGTTGACTATCGACGGTTGGATCATTTCATTTGTTTAATTATAATAAAAATTATACAAAAATTTTTTATTTATTAATTTTTTGGTAAGAAAAATTTATAATAAAAATTATACAAAAATTTATTACTTATCTTTATATGTGATGCTTTTCATCCTGTCTTCACCGTTTTCGCCAAAAGCAACTTAATTAATCAAAGAATTTCTTTTATTATTTAACATATAATCCGCCGTCTCATGACAGGGTTTTTTTTTTTTTTTTTTGGGTTCAGCGGACTTATTATTTATTACCGACCAAATTTTCTAACCACAAAATAATTAAAAGTAAAAATAGGCGACTAATATTAAGTATAATTCATGTTAGAAAAAAAAATAGTGAATCATTTAAACTAAGTATACACAAATTTCCTTCAAATATCTCTTTATTTCTTTAATTTTTTATTTCAATATATCTGTTCTAAAAAAATCATAATTTATCGCATCGTAAATAAGAGTCTTTTCAACGTATGCAATTTTGCATCACATGTAAGTTATGTGAGTTTTATTACATTAAATATTTTCTAGTACGAACATGCTCTTATTGATTTTCGGCAGCTCTTGAATTAGTTAAAATCGATTGGGTATTTAGGCTGCTTATCTGGGAGAAAGAGTCCCCAGTGTTTTTCAATTTCCTCACCCTGTTTGTTATTCTCATCAAACATGGCAAAAATATAAGTTTCTATAGGCCTTCCAGGCTTCTTTGGAGTCCCTCCTTTCACATGCTGGATCAAGTTTTGGTTATAAGTTCTTGCATTCTCAATGGTTGTTGCTGCCCTTTTCCTATTTCCAGCTGTGGGCCATCCACTCTCCGATACAACGATCTCCAAAGAACCCCCACCGGCCTTCTCCAGGGCAGCGTAAACAGCATCCAAGATGGCATCAAAAAGGTTACTGTACTGCAAGGGAGGATCTGAGACCACAGGATTTGGAGCGGTGAAGAGAGCAAATGGCAGATCGATTTCCCCGTTGTCATCGTAGCTAAAATACGGGTACAAGTTAACAAGTAATGGGGCTTGGTTGTCAACCAGGAAGCGAATTATAGGATCGAGAAGACCCCGGGATTCAGGCCTAAAAGACCCTCTTGATGGAGGGGAAGATTCTCCAAGGGTCCTTGTGTCGATGGCTGTGGAAACCTTGATTTGGTCACCAAGTCCTGCTGCAATAATTGCATTGCGAATGTTCTGCATGGCAGGGACTAGAAAGCTTGCAGCAGATTCTGAAGGTTGAACTTCATTTCCAACAGCAATGTAGCGGAACTTAACGTCACCGTAGTTTCTAATATTGTTCTGGACCCAGTCGTTTGCAGTGGCTGGACTGGCAGCGAGACCCTCAAGTTCTCTATTATGAATGCCTAGCATTACCTCAATATTGGAGCCTCTGAGAGCTTGGAGAGCAGGTTGGTCTGGATCATAGAGTCGCATTCTTCTGATGTTTCTCTGGTTGAAGAGAGCTATAACTTCTGGCCTTGGTGGTAAGTTGGTGCCAAGCATTCCATAACAAACACCTATTTGGGCACCTGCATCAAAATAAAAACTTCAGTAATTAAGAATGATTTATACTGTTAAATTAAGCAATCAAATTATTCTAAATGCAACATTTTTTTTATAAAATAAACCATACAAAAAAATTTGCATGTGCTGAAATTTAATCTCTACATCAATCATCCTAACTAAGGTTCGGATTCAACATTTTCCTATTTTAAATGCTAATAATGTGTATGTGCAAGGGAGAGAGAGAGAGAGAGAGTACTCGAGGTATGTAGGGAGGCCATAAGCAGGCCAAAGAGCAGCATTGCTGAAGCCATAAAACCAAAGTTTGCAGCTAAATGGGATTTAGCCATGGGAGAGATATACAGAGAGAGGATACAAAACAAAAAGAGCAAGTAATTGGAGAGAGGCTTTAACTCTGCTGCATTATAAAGGCAAGAAAATGCACCCTTTTCCCATTTCCCACAACTTGAATTTCCCGAAGTGAATTGCACCATGGAAAACTATGTCATGCAAAAAAATATCTTCCACAAACGCCAGCTTGGCATCATTCAAGTTCGTCAAGTCTAACATTAACCGGTCCTTCTAGCTCCTAATAACCTTTGAAAAGTCTTGAGTCGGGAACATTCAATTGTGTCCCCTCGTGACAGTTCCTTTTGTACGTTAAACAACTTGTCTTCCAATTTAATTCCAGCCACTGGGTTCACATTAAAATCAAACCAAAATGGTTTTTACAAGATCGATTGCTGTTCTTAGCCAGTCCACACAAAATTACACCAAATTTTTTATTTAAGAAAAATTCCATCCTAACTCTTTAAGCAAAAGACAAAAGCATTTATCATCGACCAATTTTAACACGACATAATCTTGACTTCTGTAATGTTAGATATGATAATCGGGGAAACAAGCACCTAGAATATGAAAGATATAAATTAATCGATGTCTTATCCTAAATCAATTCTTGTTACTAGATCACCTTTTTATTGTTGTGTTAAAAAATTTTTTTTCCATTGTCTCAAGGCTGTTTTGATAAAGTTGAGAAAGGAAATTTTGTGGATATAGATTATGGTTGATTAACGAATTGCATAATCCGTCATTACACTGCAAGATAAAAAGGAGGAAATCGGCAACTCCTTTTAGGGTAATTAGGTGGCATTTTAAAAACATAGTTATATACAAGTAATGGGTAATTAGCGTAATTACTCTTTTTCTTTTATAAAATTGATAAAATTTAAAAAAATACGACAAAATTAATGATGTAAGTGAATTAAATATGAATAAAATTTATTATATTAGTAAAAATTTAAAATATTATTTATAATTATTTATGAAATTTAATAAATGAAAAAAATTATTCAATGAACTGTTGGTTAAATATTTTATTTATTTAAATTTTTTAAAAAAATTTAGTCTAATAGGTTATCTTCTCCCAAAATAATCCTTTGTATGAAATGAAAATGCTTAAAATATTTTCCTTAAATGACCATAAATTATACAAAAAATATGCTCCCGTTGGCTAAGTACACGATCATGCAACCTCTCTTGGTTATTAGTATTCTACAGGAGCTATGAGTGGCCATTAACTTTGGGCACCAAGACATCTTATACCTCTAAGGATTTTGATTAAATCCGATGAATATTGACTCCTCCAGGCTTTTCCATATACTTTTCAAAAATATAACAACAAAAGAAAAAGAAAAAAACAGAATCGGGTCCATGTGCGTTTAATTAAGATAGAGTTCCAGATTGAAAGGGAATTGTTTGTGACGTCGATCGTTTTACGTTGCGAGGAAATTTGGTTAGTAATCTACGATTACAATTGATAGCCAAAGGGAAGTCACAGTCAATCAATAACTGATTTTATCGTTTATTAGCATTCATACTTTGAACTAAGATTAGGCTGGCTGCTTGACTTGGGTACGTACAACCGCAAATTACGCTATGACTCTGTTACGTGTTTATCTCCTCTTGTTACTAATTGATTAGATATTTTTTGGTACAAGAGAATTTACAGTCTAGCCAATTGAAGACTTTAGCATTTTGATTCAGTGGTTAAAACATGTAAAGCACGAAAGTTCCTCACAGGATCAACATTCAAAAACCAATTTCCTGATTTTATATGGAAGGATCCTCCTGAATTTGCAATTATAACTGATGCTTATCCCACTTTTATTGATAAAAAAAATAACAATACATACTGTCAACATGAAAAATAACAAATGATAATTTTTTAAATAAATTGGAATTCAAGCTAATTATCCATTTAGTCATTTGACATCATTAAAATTAATACTTGAAGATTACGAATTTAAAAAAGCTTAAACGAATAATGTCTCCTTCAATCAAATATGTAATAAAAAAGTTTAAAAGTAAATTAAAAACTTCAAAAAAAAAAAAAAAAGGAATACAGTTTAAATGAAATCTTTTTCTGCCCCTAACAAACATGCTAGATTTCATTTTTCACCTGTTATTTTACAGTCAAGCAGGGCAGATACAAGTCTAAAACTCATCTGCCAGGATATCTTTACAACAGGTAAATGATACCATCTCTTTGAATCGCATTCGTTTAAGCTTCACCAAAGAATTTATATATCTTCTCTTAATCTGTTTCAAAATTGATTTCATCTCTGAAGATTGTCTCACCATGAAACTAGAGTGTAATTGACGAGCATCTGATTTCCCCAATAATGTGTGTCAGTCGACCACTTTGAACCTTCCAATGAATTCAACCAAGACCTCTGCTCCCATCAGCTAGGGTCTATCACAATAAGATTTGCCTTTCAAATAATTTTGTCCTTAAAACCATGACTATATTTTCAAGAACACCATCTTTTTCTGCCAAGTATCGTTCAGCTTCACGTTTATCACCAAAAACTTCCCCTTCAATGAAGTAGTTGCTTCCTTCTCTGCTAATGATTCCGTACTCATATGCCAATTCCAGGACCTCAGATTCACAGCAAAATCCCCTACCAAACTGTATTCCCAGTTCAGCTTTCTGCATTGCTGGTGCCAACTTGTTTTTCACCACTTGCACACAAACCCCAAGACCAGTTATCTGTAGACAAGAGTAGATAGTTGAAATGAAACTGATGAATGGAACATGCAAATATAATAAGAACTTAGTGATAAAATATGCCAAAAATATCTGCAATGAACTCAAAATCCCAAAGATGGCTAAAGAAAAAATTCATGCAGAACATTAAATTAATAGAGTACCATCAACAGGACCTATTAAGACTTAGTTTGGCATTATGGTTAGGTTATAAAAAAGAATGAAAAACTACATTTGACAAAATATATATAGATATATGTTGTTTGGGAAACCACTGAAAAAAGCACCACTTATACTCCAATAAATCTTGAATCCCTTTGGCATAAAAGTTGTGGTCCATATTGCAGTTTTGCAACCCAACCACAATGACAAAATTAGCCAATATATAAAGCTGAAACTGATGGTCACAATTTTGACAAAAATGGTATCTTTAAGAATTTTCAAATAACTTTCAAGCAAAATGCATTGTAATCAGTTAATTTTTCTTTATTTGAGCTGCATCCTTTTCACGACCCCTGCCCTTCGCCCGCCACCCCCCCCCCCCCCCAAATATCAGCAGACCATCAATATAGATTGGCAAGTCATGCATTTGAGATTTCAAACAAAAGCAATCTTTTAAAACTGGCATGTCTTAAGTGCAAATCAGAAAGTGCACGTGTATGCACAAATAACTTACTACTTAAACCTGGGGAGTATATGTGTATTCATTCTTAATTTAAATAGAACAGAAATTGCAAATCAGACACAAATAAGACAAATGTACTAAAAGTTACTAATGAAGAATAGGACTATTCCATGGATTTAAAGTTATTTATTCTTAGCAGTATGTGACTTCCCTCTAACTCAACGAGAAACTAGCCAAGCAGACAATATTGAGTATACATATTCATTTTTTTAATAAATCAAGATGATATTTTAAACTCATAAGAAAACCAGAAAAAGGGAGCAATTCACTATCTTGTGAAGAACAAATTTTGATTTTTTTAATGATATTTCTTATCATCAATATAATATCATAAATTGCACTAGAAGATTTACACCTTATCCTCACTCTTCAGCAATCCAGTTCTTATCATCCTCAACCGTATTGCCGAATAAAATTTCAGGGCATTTCCGCCACAAGTGACCTCATCCATACGCCCAAAAGCATGACCAGATTTTGAATTATATCTGACCTGAAAGTAAATGACAAGAACCATATGCCAAACTATAAGAAACAGCTTACTACTTAAACCTGGGGAGTATATGTGTATGCAATTTTGTTTTTATGCATGTCTTTGAGAGAGAGAGAGAAAGAAATGTTGACAGGGTATCAACCTGATTAAGAAATATAATAAGAGTTCGAGATTGACATAAGGAAGAATAAATTTTTCGAAGTGCTTGAGTCATTATTCGGGCTTGTACATCATGCTTACTGTCACCAATTGAACTATCAAGTTCACACTGAGGAACAAGGGCAGCAACCTGTGAATACCAAGCAACAAGAATTTAGCGTCCAAATTGGGAAGAAAAATGAGAGATTTATGATTTCAAAAGCTTGAAAGCAGCAAACTGCAGAGGCCAACCTACATAATATATATTCCACAATGGCTGAAACCACGCACCCAGACAGACCCATTTATGCAACTATGCATGTACATGAAAATTAATATGTAAGAGGATTCACAAATGAATGATGGCACTAGTACATTAGCAGAAACATTAAGGCCACCCCATTTTACAAGCCAAGCCCTCAAGAGAAAGCAAATTAGAAGCTTCACAGGGTCAAGGACATTATAATTTGGGATGCATAAAAAATTCATAAACAGCCAATTCCTTGTTGATCTCTGGTCTCCCTGATAGCTCAGGCTCTGAGATAAAGACCATATAAAGAACTGTACATTGCAATATGCTTTTCAAAACTTTGTAAGCACAATTTACAATAATTATGAAGGGTACAGACTAAGAATTGAATCTACCATATGCTTGCCGATCATAGTACCAAATAAGTTCATAATGACTGGCAGTTCCAATCAGACCTGGTGCATTAGTTCTGATATTTCTCAGCATATTAGTCGAAACTGGCATTTAAAATTAGCATTAAAAACTGACACACATGAAGAGTAATACTAAAGATGTAAATAACAGACCTAAAATCTCAAATTTCAACACTCTTTAATAAAAGAGGCACATTTATAAAAGCACAGAAGATTCTATGACCAATGCAACTTAAAACAGGATTCAATTTCATAAAATACTAATGCATACTTCCAAATCCTTACATATTTGTTGAAGCAGGATGGGATTAACACCTTGTTTGCATGGTATTGAAGGAAGTCCTTAAGGTTCAGGACATCACATATCATCAAATCCACTATTTTTCAGCAATGCAATGATGATAGTGGTTAAACAAGTTTTACTCTTAGGAGGTAGTCTTTTGCATATATGCTAAATGGATGAGGTCCCCTATCACATAATGAATATCACGAAAAAGCAAGTCCTCATGACTTTTACCCTTTGGCTTATATAACCTCATTCAGTAACACTTTGGAAAAAGGCAGAACATGCTCTTGACATTTAACACCTCCAGCAAATACAGACTACAGACCTGAAGGCAAAATAAAAATGAATCCCCTGAATATCAAAAGTGCAAACTTTTTTGTAAGGGAAACACAATGACCATTAAGTCATATGTCTAGTATCCAACAAATGAAAAGGTAAAATAAACAGAAAACAGTTACAATAAAATCAACAATTGTGTGGGTAACTGGTTATTCACACACACACAAAAGTGGAACAAGATGCTTGAGCAAAAGAGAGCAGGCATGAGTCAAGCACTTACACTATCAACCACAATTACATCTACAGATCCACTTTTGGTCAGTGTGTCAACCACATAAAGCAAATTCTCAGCAGAATCAGGAGGAGAAATAAGAAGATTTTTTGTGTTTACACCTATTGATTCTGCAAGTGAAGGGTCCATAGCATTCTCCACATCAAGATATGCACAATACCCTGCCCAAGAGATTCATTGAATGAGACAAAACTGAAAGTAGAACTAAAGAAACCAATATGAACTTTAAAACACATGAGTACCCTCCTTTTGATAGAAAAAAGGCTGAAAACACATAACTGTAGCTGCTAAGTATTCATGCTGGGAATATAACTAGGATATTAGATAAAGAATGGTCCTACAGGATTCAAAATACAAGATAATGTAGAAGTCTTAAGCCCCAACATACAGGCAATGGCCAGCATCATTAACTAAAAGCCAGGCGGATGCTGTAAATGAATGAGGATCCACTAAAAGATGTGTCATTTCTAGGAGACTTTTGAGTTAGAAAAGAAATTGAAATCTAGATTTCAGGCCAGCCATGAGACAAATTATTGCAGTAATTATATTTCCAAATGACATATTTATCAGCATTGCCTTAAGCCTGAAAAGAAAATCCGTGATCTATGAAACATCATACTAATATACCAGATGTAACTTTACAAGTTGAGAAGATAATAGCAAATCATTAAATGTTACAGAAGATTTAATTTTGTCTTTATCCTTATCTCCCAACTTCTCCAATTTTCTTTCTATTCAAACAAAAAAAAAAGAAATATGTAAAATCCACTCCTTTATTTTTAACCCTTCTCTTGTTAAGTTCTTTTATATGTTGCCACAGATGCCAGGGCCAGTGAGTTACAAAGCAGTTTCTTGGGTCCCTTGTTAGGCAAAAGAAACACAACTAATACTACAAAATTCAAATGCTTCCACGCACAAAGTATGAGAAGACAAATTAATGGCACCTCCAAGCTTTTGAGCTTCTTTGATTATATGAAGTGCCAATGTTGTCTTGCCAGAGGCTTCTCGCCCATAAATTTCAACCATTCTTCCCTGCATAATACACAACAGAGATCACAATGATATCATGATGAAATTATTTTACTTTATAGCAGCTAACTTAAGCATGAAATAGAAAAAAAATAGCAGCCTTTGAATCAAGTACCTATTATTTCTAACTCTTGAAAATTTCTATGTATAACATGCATGCATAAAATAGAAATATTCTAAAAGTGTTTTTTGTGTGTACATATTATACGTGTGTGTGTGTGTGGCCAATGTTTAAATTATTTTGTTAAAAAAGAAATCTCAATATGTGGTAAATCAATGACCTATGCTTGGAACACCAGCAGAACTCACAGAATTTTGTAAGGGAGGGTTACCTTAGCAAGGTGAGGAATAAGCCTTTTCACTATTCATTATAAATTAAAATTATAAAAAAGCTACTTAAATATCACTAAGTGGAAATAATAATTATGAAAACCTTTATAAGGAAAACATAAAATTATGAAGGATATCTTGTGAAACATATAAAGATTTGATAACAGAAAAACAAATAAATATAACTATAAATATAAATATTGTACCTTTTAGCTAAAATCCAAATTTAATACAAATAACTTTGAAATGGAAACTAATCAGCAGTAATGAACTTTAAACCAAAAAAACCAATAAGGACAATGGTAAATCCTTGAAATGAGCAGCAGCATGGCTGTTCACTAGAAAACCAAACAGTGGCTTTTAGTACCAATGTCAAATTTTTATGCCTCAAGGCTTTTTGGTTCTGCCTTGCATCAAGGTGTGACTCATCAACACCTTTTAAAACATAGTTATATTAGAGCCAAACAATTTTTTCCCCCACCAAGGAGATGAGGACCTAATGAAAATATCATGATTAACTCCTAAGAAATAAATAATAATAATTCCTAAATGCAAACACTGTTTTACAATTGATATATTAATTTCCAAGGCATCAATTGTTGGTTTGGCAGCAGCCAAAATAGCCTCAACATTAAAACTAATATCTAAAGATTATCTGCAAAGAACAATGCAGATTTATACATAATTAGATCACAAAGGGCGTTAACATCAAAGGAAATAAATGGTCCCCGAGATTTCCTTAAGAGAAAACCAATATAAATATGCCATTATCTGAAATATATGAAGAGTATAAAAATCAGGACTTTGAATCCATTAAACAATTCAAATCTTCCTTCCAAAATCAGTTAAGGGAGCAAAAACAGAAAAGCATGCAAAATTTTGAAGTACATTGATCATGCAGAATGTTACATCATGAAGAAATACACATTTGTTCAAAATAAAACAATGGAACTGCGCTTATCAGTTATCAGTAAAGAACTAGCATAATAATGTCTATGTGCACGAAAGACATAAATCAACACTGATATGACATCAGTTATCAGTAAATAACCCTTTAAACTCCCAATCTACGAGACAGCCAGAAGCATCAGGTTAAATTACCCTATATGCCAAGCATTTGTTGACAACATAATGCATCAGATATCTGACTGCTGTCATACTTACACTGACCATTCAGCATATATGCTTGACCACAAAGTGGCAAGTACAAAAAAAGCACATGTTTCATTAGAAAAGAAATGCACAAACGGGAAAACTAAGCATTATCAACCTTTCACCTTTGGTAATCCTCCAATCCCAAGTGCTAGATCAAGCTTTAACGAGCCTGTAGATACCACAGGAGCACGTCGTGAGCTGAAAAAACGATGCAAGGACAGCATAGACTCTCTGCCAAAATCACCAGCAAGCCGCAAGAGAGCCTCACGTAGAGCACTGTCTTTCTTTATTTCATTGTTATCATCATGAAATTCATCGCATTCAAACTCCGAAACATCAGCTGAAAGGTTAAAAACATAAAATTGGGCAATGAGAATGAATTGCTTATTGTTTGAATTCACTAGATGTAAAACTTTGCACAGGACTCTATGTTATATATAACAACAAATAAATGCTATGGCCAAATTATAGCCCAATGCTTGAATTAAGCATTTAATATTATTTTATTTTCTTATCAAAGAAATAACAGAGATTAAATGAATAATTTTGAATGACATAGTTAGTGTATGATTTATTCTCAAGAACAGCAACTCAATCTCATTATTTCTTAAATTTGTAATGCGCTTTGCTAATTTCTTAAACGATTGAACTTTACTTATAATCCAAGTAGCATAAACAGAATAACTAAGCTAAAACCCCAGCAACCCAATCATGGACATAAATTTCAAGCACATGGTTAAGCATTATTCACATAACTATGAAGATATAGAACATCTAACATACATTTATGGGCAGTTGGGCACAAGAAAGTTTCGATGTTAAACTGATAAATAGATATAAACATAAGAGACAATAGAGTGAAAGAGATGCTACCTACAGAAGAACGATGGCGCGAGAAAGCCCCAATAGAAGTGATTGCATCTCTTCTTGCAAGCTGGGAAAAAGCAACAATGTCAAAGGACAGCAAAAATACGTTAAGGTACAGAAATATTCATCGAGTCCTTGGCAAAGAAGATGGGGAAACAAAGCTAGGATAGAGAAAAGCAGGATTTGAAGAAGAAATTATTGATAAAAAAAAAAAGACACAATCATGAGCATCACTGCACCAAAATATGAGTCTATGAAGCAAAGCATGACACTTTTTTTTGAAACCCACAATTTTTTGAAGTCCCTTTCATTCAATACCTACAAATCTCCATGTGGGTCATTTCAAAAGGGAAAAGAACACAAAAATCCCACTCAAAATAATCAAAATATAAATATTAAAAGAGAAAGAGAGAAAGAAGAAACCTGAGGGGAAGAAAGGAGTAAAGGGAAGAAGCAAGATGATGTTGACACAGCTTTGAGAGTAAGAGAATGGAAAGAGGTTACCATTCTTTCGTCTTCCTTTTTTCTTTTCTTCTAAATGTTCTGGGGTTTGGGCTTTGCTAGGGTTTTGCTTTTGGTGTGAAATTATTTGAATTTCGAGGGTTTTTTGTGTGAAGCATTATCGCGCCATCCCATCTCTACAATTATGTCTACTCAGCGGCTGACTCTCTCTTCAGATTCAGACACGGAAGTATTTTTGCATGGCGGCCCCTTGTTTTCAATGTATTTCATTTGTACCCCTTATGTTATAAAATAAGTAAAACATTATATTATAAAATACTTGAATTTTTTATTGTTTCTTAACTAAATTAAAAAATAAAGCCATAAAATATGTTAAAAATAAATATTTTTTTAAATTACAATCATAATTAAATATTTCATGCTTATACTTAATTATTACATAATCATCAAATAATCAATTAAAAATTAAAAAATAATTAAACGATTAAATTTACACACAATAAAATTTAAACTTAAAACTTCAGGGTTCTAAAATTTTCAATTTATCATTAAATAAAGCCATGACAACAATAAATGATAAATTTAATCCTTAAGCTTAAGTCATTTTCCTTAATTTGATTAACATCATCCTAAATTGAACGAAATAAAAGTTTATTTCCTACATTCAAATATTGATCAAAATTTAAGTCCTGATAGCCAAATAAAAATCTCCATTACATATCCACCGTTAGATCTAGCATACGGAAACAAATTTATTATTTCTCCAACAAATTAAATAAAAAACAGTTGAAAATTCGTAACTGACTCAAACCTTGAGACTGATGACATCGCAAACACCTTCTTCTCTTCGAATCAAAACCTGAAAATTTTGTTTTCCAAAAAGGGCTAAAAAAGCGCTAATTTTTCGATTTAATTTTAATTATTTTCTTTGCTTTGATTTTCAAAATAAAAAATGGCAACAGAAGCAGCGACAACAACAATTTCTCAGCTTTCTTGTTTCTCTTCAATCAACCGGAAATCACAGCTCTATCATCGACCAATTTGTCGTCCGATTACTCGCACCAAGGTAATTATAATTCAGATTAAATGAATCTGATTGAAATATATGCATGTTGATCATTGCTTTATGTGTTTCGATTTCCAATTATTCATTTTGCTCAAAGGTTAAACATAAATGCAAATCAAATATAAAATCACAAAAAATGCAAGAAACTATTAGGATTTGACACTTTAATATTGTATCCTCAATACCTGTAAGAGTTCTTTGTGAAGATTAAAGAAATGGGTCATCGTGGAAACTGGAAAAGATACTAACTGCTTCAGTATTCAGTCAGTTGTTGTTATGAGTGTTGATGGGCAAGGTACTAAAGCTACTAGTTCTGAACTTAAAACTACACCAAGTTATGTGGCCGGGGAATCAGAACCATTTGTAGAAGAGGCGACTGAGTCATATCTAAATGCAGAAGGGCGTGTTCTTAATAATACAAGTGAGCTGGTTGAGGAACATGATATCATACAACCAAAAAGGGCAGCAAAAGTCCATGATTTTTGTTTTGGCATTCCTTACGGTGAGTGTGCGGTACAAGGTTTAGTTGATGCCTCTTTGCGTGACACATGTTGAAATATTTACTGAACGTGGTTTCCGTTGCTTAAAAAATCGCTAGGTTGATCGTAATTTATTTGAAATCACTTTCTTACAATTATCCTTTTCTTCTTTTAAGTCTTCTTTCATATAATTTCGTGGTTTTTGTGTTATTTGTGCTTGTTTCAGTATCAATTGATTTAGGACTTGGTAATCCTCTTATTATAGATTAATTGTCTCTTTAGAGTGATTTGCATATGTTGTGTGTATTTTTTCTTTGCTTGATCTTTATAGCACATTAGCTTAGTCATTTAATTTTTATTCTTCAATGAATTAACAAATTAACGTAATCAGATTCTCCTTTGATGACTTGTATTACTTGATTACAGGTGGTCTTGTTCTAAGTGGAGGGGTTGTTGGTTTTGTATTTTCGAGAAATCCTACTACCTTACTCTTTGGAGGCGCTCTGCTTGCTCTTAGCATCTACAGCTTGAAGATCTGGAGGCAAGGAAAATCAAGTTTACCATTCATACTTGGACAAGCAGGTATTTTGACTTTTCTATGCATTGAGGCATCCTTTCAGAGCAATTTATGAAAATCACCTTTTTGTGCTTTAGAATCCTGTTTTGTTGCTTATAGGAAATGTTTGCTCTGGGTGCCTATTTATTTATCATTTTATAAAAGAAATTTTTAGTACCCAAATGAGAAGCCCTTCAGTACAAACAGGTGGCTTGATAGATAATGATGCAGCAGTTCCATAGAGCCACACATCTACTGACTACCATCATATCTATTTATAGTTTTAAAGTTAGATAAACTAGAGTCTATCTATATGCAACTAGCAGAACATGTTTTGAGAAGTTCATATGGTTTGCCATTTAATATTTATAGAGAGAAAGGATGGTTTATAATACTGTGATATTTTAGTGCAACAATTTGAAATACAAACCAACATTAAAGCTTGGTACATAGTGATTCTGGAAACTTGGTTTCATTATGGGGATATTCCTCAGAATTGGCAGAGCTGATGTATAATTCGATAATTAGACTGCCTTACACAGGTTGGAGTTTCAGTTTTCATTATAGGTCTATGTAATCAATTACCGGTGTTGTTGTTAGGTTTATAAAATAATTAGATTTGAGGAAATAGGTTTATAACCCTCACGTATGACTATGCATCTTCCAGATCAGTACAGAATCAAGCCTTAATTGTGATTAGACATTATCATTTTAGCCATGTAATTAAAGACCACTATATAATTATTTATATGAGGAGGGGAATGCATTTTTCAGTTGCTGTAAAATTTGAAACACCGATGATCAGAAAGCAGCAGGGGTATAAACATCCCTCGATCAAGTGAATGATAAGTGATATTATTGGCCCAAGATTTTTGGTATGTCATGATACCAGAAGAATGCATCTGGATTTGGTGAAATGCTTTCTTATAGCATAAAATGGGTTTATAGCATAATATTGCAGAGTGGTCTCAAAACAGGTTTAGAACATAAAATGGGTAATAAGGGGAATTCTTCAGCATGACAGGTGCATATAGAAGAGATTTTTATAAAACTATTTAGCCACCCTGTTTTTCCGTCTCTTGGTTTGCAATCAAGGATTTATTATCAACTGAAGAAGGAAGCAAAGTGGGGATGCATTTAGGGACATAATAATAGGGAAGATACTCCCCTTAAAGGGATCATATGTTTGATAAACATGAGATTTATTGGCTAGAAAATGTTATAATAACATGTGAGGTGAATACTAGGAAGTATCTCTGTCCTTGCCATGCAGTTAATGGTCATCTATATTTATATATATATATATATATATATATATATATTTACATTTGGTTACCTTGTATGTAAGTTTTAGACATAAACATGCAATAGTGCTTTTCTTTTTACAGACTTTGGCATGTGGCAAAGAGACAACTAGACATAGTTCTAGTGATCTTTGGATACAGAATTTGGGTTCAACAATATTGCCTAACTTATAAGTGCATTTCAGTAAAGATTCAACACACTCTAGAAAATAATTTCAATGTTGCAAAATGTCAATAGCCTTTGAGCATCAGTCACAAGGTGTATGCTGAATATTAAAATTTGGTCAAGGTGTTAAATCTTTGCCTGACGTTCAGTCTTGTTTAGAATGGATTACCTCATTGTATGTGTGTTCTGACCTTTCAGCACTAGCAGCAGTCCTTTTCTGGAAGAACTTTCAGACTTACTTATTGGTATTTATCACATCAGTGCATCTTACTTATATCTCTCTTGTTGATTTTTTGTTTCTAACTTTATAATTGTATGTGGGTGCAGACAAAGAAGCTATTGCCTAATGCATTTTATGCTGCCATAAGGTGTTAATCCTAAAGCTCTCAGTGTTTTTGTTAACAAAAAGAAGTTTGAGTCAGTCTTATTCACATCTTTTTTCTTTGGGATAAATTTTTGTATGATGCAGTGCTGCAATGTTGTTCTTCTATTCATATGTGGTGATCTCTGGAGGGAACCCACCCCCAAAGAAATTGATGCCGTCTGGCACTCACCAATCATGATGAGACTGCTTAAAGGTTGTCTTACATGAATGTTGGGGTCCCTTTGTATAATGTTGTATTTTGAGTTGAACTGAGATTACAGGTAAATGAGCATTGTTTGTTTATCAATGCAAACTGCTGGTTAACTACAAGTCGGGAATCCAACCAAAAGGAAAAAGCTACAAGTTGAGAATGCATATTAGTTGGGGATACTTTTTTTTTTAAAGAATTTGGAGACAGCATATTGTTTTCTATGGTTTGTGGGAAGTAGCATTGATGAGAATTTACTGTGATTAATGGAAATATTTTGTTATAGCATGATGCGTACGAGTGACTAAATGAGTGTTTCTAAGCAGATGGATATGTGGCATAGTCACATTCTTTATTAGCATAGTGGCATTTGAATTGTGCAGCAAAACTCCTGAACCAGATTGCAAGGGAAAGCAGGAACACAAATATTGGTGAACCAAAATTTGATATGCATCACTTTTGTTTTGTTCAATGAGGTCACTGAAATTCTCTAAGCTTCTTCACTGAGCAACCTTTTTCTAGTCAGGCTAGGGATTAGATGTTCCTGCCTGATTATTGTCAGAATTTTTTTTTTCTTCTGATGAACGAGGACAGAGGTGATTGTGATTGTGTTCTAATACCAAAATTGATGCTTGCTGATTTGATTTAGGGTTCTTTCTTGTGCAGAGATTCGGTGGGTTTGTCAAGTCTTTGGATCCTTTGCCATGGAACTCCATAGGAATATGTATTTCTCTATCGGCAATTTAAATATAGTGATATAACATAAAGATGATAAAAAAGAAATGATACGGTTTTAATTTTTATTAAAAATCATATACAGGTTTAACAAAAAACAAATAAAATATTTTATATTTTTTGTCTCAATATAAATTGTGATGTATAATTTTTGTATAAATATATAAACACGATATGTTCCGATTTGATCAAGGATTTAGGGGAATTCATGGTTGAAGGTGAGGCTATGAAGCAGTAAAATCCGCTGGCCCATCCCCAGCACAACTCCACTTGCACAGCTCTTGAAAAATTGGGAATTTTTATAGGCCCTAACTCTATCAGATCAACTTTGGAACGCCCAATAAAGAATAGCTCAAATAAAAAGACTAGCATGATAAAAAGGGCTCAAAGGAGAGTAAAACTTTCTTTGCTAAATTTCATGTCAACATATTCTCTTGAACAAAACTCACGAGTTAGCTATTATATGTTTAAAAAGTATTTATAACGTCTGTTCTCTGACTTAGGTGGACTTACCTTTGTCAACTTCACTAATTATACGCTTCAGGAAATTTTGTAATATTTTAAAATTATTGACTTAAGATTGAGAAATTAAATTTTGTAAAAATAAAGGTGAAATGATTAATAGTTTTAACATATTTAATATAATAAAAAATTCTCATAAAGATATTAATAAATTTATTAATTTAAAATATAATATAATAATATAATACGAACACAATATGAATAAAAAACACATAAATAATATGATTTAAAATTTTAAATATAATATATATGTGTTTTACAAAATTAAAAAAATATATTTTATATTTTTATATTGATATGAATTTTAATATGTAATTTTTATTTATGATACAAATATATTAATGTTAATATATTATACAATATAGATACGTAAATCGGATATTAGTGTCTTCGATTCAAAAAATAGAAACTTCCTTGCAAAATGCAATTGGATTCGAACAATTAAAATCATCAAAATAACAATTTCCACATGTCATATTGATAAAAAGTGGGGGGGGCTACAAGTCATATGTGTTAAGTAGCTTAGTTTAAGGACACTTGTGGCTTTTCTAAGGGCTTCGACTTGGACTTGAATCATCCTTGCACTTTGCTGTCCCAAAAGAGTGCATGGGCCACAGGCACATAAACATTTTCGGCAGTCCTTTCACGTGCCCATACAAAAAAGGAAGATGACGTCAATTTCCAATTGCCAATTGCCAAATGCAGATTGTTTCGGTCACTCTCACTCCAAATATGGGCTCCAAACTGAACCGATTTCTTTTCTTTGCATGTCAATTTCTTCTACAATGAATAATTTCATTTGGTTGGAGCAACCGTCCTATATGTTTTAGCATACTAGTTTATGGTTGGAACTCGAGATCGATATTCAAACTCTCATTCATATCCATTTAATCAATTAAAATTATTTTTTAAATAATTAAAATCATATGACATAATGTGTACGCAAGTCATATGAAATAATGTGTATGTAAGATGGCATTTTAAGAAATTAAGATGTAATGTTCCAATTCCTCTGTCCCTCTTAATTCTCTTTCTTCCATTCGTTTATGTTGTTCATGTGGCATCACTTACAATTTTGAGACTCAAAACTTTTTCATAAGTCAGCTATTAGTACTACTATATTAATTTATTCGGTTGTTGTTCCTTTAAATACCCTAGTTTTTGAAAATCTAAGGCTCTATTTGAAAATTCAACTGGAATGCTCGTATCACGTCAAAAAGTATATTTTATGATAGAATTTTAAGACTCCAACTTAGAGGTATAATCTCATTCATCTTTTTACTAAATAAGAAATTCTCAGTTCTCATCAATTAGTCAAGCTTCTAAAATAGATTTAAATAGATTTGATAGAATTTTATAATTTTGACTTCAATTATATTTAAACAATAGATTTGATAAATTAAACATGTAACAAGCTTTTCATTTGATGGTCATTCACTCTTTCAATTGTTATCACATAGTTTCATTTGATTATCATTCAAAAACTTGACCACCTATGTATGAGATGATAATTTTAAAATCAATGGGTTTCAAATCATGGATGTTTAAAACAAGTGGGATGTTGATAGCCATGAGGATATTAGGAAACATACATGGAAGAGTAGTTGATCATAGGTTTCAAATGAATCAAAGCACCTAGTGGTTGTGTTTAGAGCCCATATTTAGTTCATATCTTTTAACAGGATACAACTATATATCCCTTTCACACGTGAAAGAGAAAGTGTCAGCCATTGTTGTTGAATTCCAAGCCCTAACTAGCCTCGTAATAACCCACAAAACATTACTCATTGTTGTGTATAATAAACCTAAACTAGTCTATTTATATAGGTGTATCACATAGAAATCTGAAAGATCCCCAAAAGCAAGTGATATATATGGCAAGACGGTGACATTACATACCCCATAGACCTAATTTTATCACTAGCTAGAGTTCTTTTTCTTATGTATCATGTCAATCCAACAGGAAGAGTCCTAGAAGAAAGTTCAAGCTGTGGGGGCAAAACTTGAGAAAGTTTCTTGATTGGCTGGGGCTTTGAAATGATTTTGGGACTTTCACTTAAACTTGAGAGAGGATATCCTGAATTCCTGATCTTCTTATACTTTCGTCTTTGTTTATGACAATGACTTTTCATGACCATTGGCATGTTAAAAGCACATGGGGTGCTGGTGGATTTATGCGCATGAATTAAAAGATAGGGTTTCAAAGTGATGATTGAATTAGCCATGATGGGACATATGAGAAAGAAATCAAGTTTACATGATTGGATAAATATTTATGATGGAACAAAATTTTTATGCTCGTGTGAGAGACCTTATCAGTTTGATGCTCTATTTAGAGAAAATGAAATTATTCAACATGTGAGAAATTAAATTCTCATCCATAACTTAGTTTCATCGAGTATATTGAGCTTTCTTTTTTTTTTTTTTTTAATTTTCTTAATTACAAAAGGTGAATATGACTCTACCTATATGGATAGAAAATATTTTCTTAATTACAAAAGCTAACTTGATTAAAAATTCTTGCTTGATTGATCGGACACGAATTCAATTAATCTATTTTGATACGTGCTAGATAATTATTTAACTGTGCCTTTTCAAGCAGAAAGCACATGTTAGATATGAAATCTCACACTTAATTTATAAAATATTATTTACTTTGATTCAAAAGTCTTATTATTTTTATTTCATAAAAAAAATCTCGTAAATTTTGATTTAAATTTCAATTTAGATATCATAATGAATCTTTAAAACATTTCGATATAAGATTAGAGTATCACATTGGATAACTATCTAGAAGATAATTCATCAAAATTATCTCCAAAATTAATTCTAAGATAATTAACTTGGGAGTATATTAGATGGAAGATCAATCTTCCATCCATCGCCAAAATGCCTCTGACATTTGGCTAAAAATAGCCTCTCTCATTTTTCATTTCAACACATCGCAAGCATTCGTCTTCTCCCTTTGTGAAAAACTTAGTGCTAAGCCTTTTTCATAAACTTTTCTCAAAATTCTGAAAAAAAATTTCCTTAAATTCTTCATTTCCAATCTCCAAAAAGCCTCCTGTTACCATCGAAGTAGCTTAGAGCCTTAGCCAAACCCTCCGGCCTATCCCAAATCTCTTCCTGACAAACCTCCAAATCCTTAGAAAATCCAAAACATGGCCCTAGCCAATCGACACTAAGCCATCCTCATGCCTTTCTGCCTTCATTTCACTAGATTCTCCAATACCAACACCAAAACCTTACCCTACCATTTTAGCACATTACTTGTAGCTTAGACACTAAATCAGAAACCACCAAACATTCAAATCCAAAAAAGCTTGAAAAATATCTAAATTAAAATAATTCAAACCCAAATTAAACTCGAATCCAGAATGTCTTGAATTTGAAAACACTTTAATTCAGATTGTCATAATGTATAAATTTTTATACTTAGTACTAGATACAACTTAAAGAATCGTAACCAATATTTTTTAAAGTGTGATTGGTTACTTAATGAATTTATCCTTTTAAAGAAATCTTAAACTTGATTAAGGATTCTTAAAGAATAGGTTCTAATCTTTTGAATGAAAATAAATTCAATAGTTCGATTACATGTAGAGAATATTATAACACCCTACAATACCCATCCTAAAAAAGGGTATCATTTAATTTTAAATTATCCTAAAGGATTATAGTTCTAATGATCTTAAATTTAATATTAAAAATAACTTTTAAGATTCTTCATCAATCTGACAAATTAAAAATATTTTCTTATCTCGAGAGTATTCAAGAATCCTATTTGTTTTCTTGAAGAGACTTCATTGTTGGAAAAACTTAATCATTTATTTTTTTGTTAAATTTTCATTTTATTGAAAATATATCTAATTCTTCCATCATTTGAGCCAAAATTGAAAATTTTTTCTCACTTAAAAATTTATTAAATAATCATCTATTTGCAATTATTAAGAATTTTATTTTTGAAATTTATTTTTTATTTTACAAGTTTTATTTCTAAATTTTTTTCCTTTTAAGCCAAATTTAGAAATATTTTTCCTAAAATTTAGTCTCCATTTATTCATCATTTAATCTTTAAAAAAGAAAAATAACGTAACAATTATTTTTGAGAGTTTCATCTTAATCTTTTCACCATTTGAGTTGAATTTAAAAAAATCTTGTACTTAGAAATCTTATGGAAATTTAATCATTTGTGAGTTTTTTTAAGATTATATCTTTGGATAATCATTATATGTTTTCACACCAAATTTTTTAAAATCATATTTTTAATTTTTAATTTAGAAAGGAATACAATTAATTTTATTGAAATTTTATCTAAAATATTCCACCATTTTGATTAAATTTAGGAAAATTCTACCTACAGATTTTTTTAAAAATTTACCATTTGAAATT